GGAGAAATGGTAGTCATTAGTATGTCAAGTGGCTGGGGTTGAGCATATTAAGTTTGATCACAAGGAAGTTTAGGAATGGTCACGTTTATTCAATTACCTGGATGTGAAGGAACTCTTCAAGGTAGACTGATACTTAATATTTCAAGATTTGTCCTTAGTTCCTAGAGTTAAAGTAGGCACTTAACATGTTTGTTAAGTTGAACTTGGAGGTAAAATTGCTGAGTTTGATTTTTTGGTAATACTGTCCTGATACCCACAAATTAGATCAGTACAGCTCTGAGTGCTTATCTAAGGGTGCAGAATGTAAGCCAGTACCTATCTATTGCTTCAAAAAATGTGGCTATGGGAAAAAGTTAGCTGAACTAAATGGGATGCTTAGTGACTTAGGTAATTTATATTCTGGCACAAGTTCCCTATTTAGACTCAGTTCAGTTTTGCAGCCAGCCTAGAGTCACACTTTGAATAGCACTGAATTAGATGACATTCTTATTATAAATCACAGCAAAATTAAATGCCAAGGTTGGAATTTCTTTCACATGACCAAATCTAACTGAACTCATTGCTTCTGACAGTTCTACATGCTGGATTTAAGGTCTACAGACAGAGTATTACAGTGGGAAAGAATTGATTGCCAAGGAATGCCTCCGTCATCAAAGGACAAACTTGGTGTCTGGGTATATAAAAACAAGTGAGTTAGCAGCACTACAGATTTGGGTTTTTACATGGAAGGTGGTTTGCCATTCAAGTATCCTTAGCTGGTAACTGTTGTAACCGTAGTGCATAGGAGGATTAGTGTATTAATGCTTCAGAGCACTTAACATGGCACCTGAGACATTAGCCGTCACTATTTGAGTATTTTCGTATAATTGTGTGCCTTTTCAACTCACATAACAGTAGAAAAATCTCATGTCTTAACCAACGGATATTTGAATTTTTGTCTTTTTTTTAATAAAATAGGTTAATCTTTTTTGGAGGGTATGGATATTTACCTGAAGATAAAGTATTGGGAACTTTTGAATTCGATGAAACATCTTTTTGGGTAAGTGAAGTTTCATATTTGCATATGGCCTTAGTATGTTGAAATAATACATTTTGTTTGGTAGTAGTTTTGTTCATTTTGCTTTGTTAATAAATCAGACCAAGGCTATGTGATTTTGTAAATGTTATTTGTAAAGCAATTGTAAAATAATTCAGAGACTCTTACTGTTTTCTGTAGAATTCAAGTCATCCAAGAGGATGGAATGATCATGTACACATTTTAGATACTGAAACATTTATCTGGAGCCAGCCTATAACTACTGTGAGTTCCTGGAGAGTGATGGATCGCTAAAGCAAGCCTGCTCAGAGGGAAGTTGGGAGGTGGTGTAAGATTGACAGTTCATCCTTCTGTTTTCTGGAGAAGAGTCACACCTTGCATATTTTCCAAGGATTCCACAACCGAGAAAAGTTTAGTGAATGTATAGACCAAACCAGCATCTATTATCTAACTGATGTTGAGTGGTACTGTCTGTAGTCAAATGACCTAGCACTACACTGGAATTTCAGTTACTCAAATACCAGTTTCTTTCTCCTCTGATACAGATGTCATATAATGTGCTAGCTTTTATTTTAAAATAAAAAAATAAGCATTCTATTTATTTACTAGTCCATTCAGTAATACACCTCAAAAATACAAAATTAAAATTTCCAGTTGTGGTAGTCAGCCTTTAGTACTGCTATTGACTAGAAGGCTGCGGTTTAGCTTAAAAGCGCAAGCGTCCTGTATATTCTTATGTGGGAAGTGGTTTGCCACTCAAGTATTGTTAGCCAGTGACCGTTGGAACCATAGAACATATGAGGATTGTGTGAATTATGTCAAAGCACTCAACACAGCACCATTACCATATGAGTCTTCATACACTGAGGTGTGAAGACTCTCTGACACTTATCAGAAGTTCACTTATTAACCTGTTTACCTGACTTTAACAGGGTACGGCACCTTCGCCTCGCGCTGCCCACGCCTGTGCTACTGTTGGAAACAAAGGCTTTGTGTTTGGAGGCAGATACCGAGTGAGTGTGCAGACTGTTTCAGTGGCTGCCTTTGAATCATTCAAAATGGTGACTACATGATTATCCTTTTTTAGGATGCTAGAATGAATGATCTCCACTATCTTGATCTGGATGCATGGGAGTGGATTGAATTGTAGGTATTGCATTAGATAACTCTTTAGAACAGTTTTCAAAAAAATTTTCCATGGCTTTTTTCGTTATTCTCTATTATTAGTATATAATGTACTTGCTTCAATTGTCTGTAACTGCGAATTTAAACAAAACATGATCATTAGACCCTTACTGATCATGGAAGAATTTTATTAGACCCTTAATGATCAATGGAAGAATTTTATTTTAATTCCCGTTCCTATTAACTATGTGCCTCTACACAGTGTGCACTGTTTGTTGAAAAGGTCTAAAGTTGACTGTCAAAGAAAATAGTCCATTCTAAACAAAGCATGTAGTTAATACAAAAAAGCCTTTTTAAATTTGAAATCTCTTTTTAATTCCATGTAAATTTTAAAGAAAATTTCAGTATTTCTCTGTTTTTAGATGTTGGTATTATAACATAGCTGTTATTTTCAGAATTCCACAAGGCATGTGCCCAGTTGGCCGATCTTGGCACTCACTCACACCAGTTTCTTCAGACCATCTCTTTCTTTTTGGAGGGTTTACCACTGATAAACAGCCACTAAGTAAGTCCTTTAAAAATGTAAGAAACCCCTGTATATCATTCGTATATCACTCATATATAATAATATATATAGTTCAAAAAATCTATTTCATTAGATGTATCAGGGCTATAGGGTTTGTTGGAGGGTTTGCTGTGACTTTTGACCCTGTTGGGCACGCCTGCGGTCTGCATGCTGTGACACACATCCACTCTGTGAAGGAGGGGCCCAGGACACTGTAAGCCCTGCCAAAGGGCTCTAACGTGCAAAGGGTTTACTTGGTTAATTGCAGAGGAAAAAAAGGAAATACACTTTCTGTATCTACTCACAATCTGATTTACTACCTCTCTTGCTAAAGCTGTGCCCTTTAAATATCAATGTTGTATTGATAGAATAACGTACTTCATAGATTTCTTCTGTTTCAACTAGGTGATGCCTGGATTTTCTGCATTAGTAAAAATGAATGGATACAGTTTAATCATCCCTATACTGACAGACCAAGGTATGAACTATTTAAAAAGGTAATTCTTATACTAAAGTAATGAAGTCCCTAGAGGTGTACAAGACAGAATGGGGAAATTTTGGATGCATTAAATCCATCATTCTTCTAATAAACACCTTAGCATTCACTAAGGTTTAATACATCTTTTGAAAGAAAAAAAATGTTATCCTAGTATCAGATGCTTTCTTTTCCTTCATCTCTGTGTGAAAAATACAGCTAGATTTTGATTTTTTTAAACTTTTTTCCTTTCTTTATCAACAAATTACCAATATAATTAACATTTATAATCAAGCTCTTTGCCCAAGTAAATTGAACTGCACCTGAATTTGTCATTAAAAATAGAAAAAGGAACTGGAAAGGAGAGAATTTCAAAACCTTAAGGAATGTATATGGACAAAAATCAGTAAGTTTCTATTAGATTTTCGGTAGCACTTCAAAACAAAGACTAAGAAGTCAAACCATCAAAAAAGAAGAGACTGTTAAACAGAGTTATTTGTTGTTAATCTCAAAGGATTGTTAAAAAAAACTGAAAAGGAAATGGTTGTCAAAGTACTGCATTTTCCCCTAAGCCTCTAACCTAAGTACAGTCAGGCCACTAAGACTTTATGTGACAAAATGTTCTTCCCATTGAATTACCAGGCCTTCAGATACATGTTTACTCAGGCAGATTCAGCATCTTTCAGATGTTTTGTGTAAGGCCAGTTGGCCCAGCCCATGAAAAGAGGAAGGAGAGGCCATATACCACTCATCTCCCGTAAGATTTTTATTGCTAACAAAGACCTAGAGAACAGTGTTAGTTCAAACCCTTCACTGGACCAGAGAGAAAATGCTAACATCCACTGAATCAAAACAGACATTGATTTTTGTACCTTTAACTACTTTTCCTTAAGAAAATTGCTTCTCACCTTGATGTTGGTCTGAACTCAAGAGCCCTAGTCTTTACTAAATCAGTTCTGTTCTGTGGTGTTTTGGGTGACTTCAAACTCAAGCTCTTGTTTTAAATGTAGATTATGGCATACAGCTTGTGCCAGTGACGAAGGAGAAGTGATTGTTTTTGGTGGGTGTGCCAATAATCTTCTTGTCCACCACAGAGCTGTAAGTATACGACTTTCTGTGAAAGGACACTTCATAACATTGCTGAAATTTGTGAAGTATTTGCATTTTAATGTGTTCTTATCTATTTTTCAGGCACACAGTAATGAAGTACTAATATTTTCAGTTCAGCCAAAATCTCTTGTAAGGCAAGTAACTTTTTAAGGGCACTAACAAGCCTTCATCGACACAACTAAATCAGTTATATTTTCCTTTGAAAATCTTAAAGGAAAATAGTTTTTTTTATTTTAATAGTTCAAGTGAATGTAATTCTAAACAGTAAAGTGAAATTATTTTTATCTTGTTCACTTTCAGGCTAAGTTTAGAAGCAGTCATTTGCTTTAAAGAACTGTTAGCCAGTGCGTGGAACTGCCTTCCCAAACACTTGCTGCACAGTGTGAATCAGAGGTTTGGTAGTAACAACACCTCTGGATCCTAAGGCCTCACAGATATAATGCCTCTGATCGCCGCCGTGCACGGACAGCAGTTCTGGAAACATCCAAGAGTGGCGTCATCTGTAAAGTTACACGCATTGTTGTAGTTCTGAGCCTTTTGATTTTGATGTGCATGTGAATGGCCTAGAGAACCTATTTTTGTGTCTAAATAAATGTATTTAACACCAGTAACTGTCTTCTGTTAGAGCAAAGGGTAATTAATACTTGGGCTTTTTACTCTAAGGATAGGGTTCCTTTTTGGTAACTTCAGGATATATACCTGTAGGAACAGTACACTAATTATCTTTATCACTTAAAATGTGAAGTTGGTTTCTTCCTTTTTAATGGAACTTTTGGGGTGTCACTGGTAAACAAAATTCCACAGGTTTCAGGCACACAGTTCCACAGCACATCCTCTGTACACTGTGTTGTGTGTTCACTGCCTCATGTTGAAGTTACTTTTTTAAATGGCAAGAATAGTCTATCATGTTGTTATTTACAACATGAGATTACATAATTATAAAGTTTATTTAAACAGTGATTTCAAGTGGAAAAAATATTCTCACTAGGAGGACTTAGAAACTGGTAAAAAAAAGGAAGGACCAACAGCAGTTTCGTACTTTGACCTTAAACGCTTTGGTATAGGGTCTGGGGGAAGCGGTCATGTTGACTGTAGGCAGCTGTCGTCTGGTCACTTAGAAAGTAACAGTTTTGTAGTTTATAGAAGAATGGAAATAAGGTATGACTTTATTCTCCATTCTGTTATGAGACAGGAAAGCTGGGACTGGAGTCTTTCGTGGTAAGCCTAAAAGTGCACTTCTGATATTACAGGTTAAGGTGCATCATAACATGCTACTGATTCCTAGTAGACGTGGGAAATTAAATGGTACAGAACTTAATGAGACTACAAGAAAGAAAGGTGAAAGCTGAGGGTATGTAAATGCCTGGAAATGATCAACATCAGTTACTTCTAGATATTATTCCTTAAGCCGAGCAATGGAAATTATTTGTATTTTACATCTGGTCTAATGTACTTTTTGACAATATAAGATGGAAGAAAACTAACTCCTTCAATATTTAGGGTTTTCAAGACTTAATCCAAAGTGTTTAAACCAACTACCATCACCAAGAAAAGAAAACAAACAAACCCCCTTGGCACTGGCCTGTAATGGACGTACCAGACATTATACACCGCAGACGGCCGAGCGAACAGTCTGTGCAACTGGGAAGTGAATACTTAATGTTAACTCCCCAAATTCCAAGAATATGTAAAATAATTACAGATGTGTACAATTAGCATTTAACTGTCCCTAAATACTTTAGGAAATCCTACTACAACAGACAGTGTCTCCTCTCTATAAAACTGAATAAAACATTAAGTCCTTTTGGTGAGTATAGCAAGGCAATATTTAGTTCATTTTTAAAGCGGAAGTCTTGTTACACGGTGTTTTCATTTTTGAATGTCCAGGAGGCCATAAAACCTGGCTTTATCTCAGCTATTTCCTTTTTACATTCAGAAGGTTGGGTGCAGACACTTTGACTTTGCCAGGAATGTTTCTTGATAAATCCGTGTCCTAAAACAAAACAAAAAACAAAACCAAGAACTGCTGAGTATCTTCACATTCTATGTGGTCATATTTCTCTGTATGACAATTATGTGTCTTCTGCTATCAATAGCAAAACATTTCTAAAATTATTAGCTGAAATGATTTTACTTATTTTATACTGCTTCTAAGAAGACAGCATTTTCTACTAAAATAATGGCTGCAGCGTACATTTACTAAATACAGTCAGAATAAATTTTTAGTTGCACTGCGAATCTTCAGAAAGTTCTGGAGAAATATTTTACCTTTACGCTACGGAATAAATCTTTTTCTCTTGCTGTTGCTTCTTTGGAATGCATGAAACTATTCAAGGCTGTTTTTGCCGCTGTAAATATAAAATAGAAGAATGTACTTTTCTTCAGTCAAGAAATGTTTAAAATAGTAATTCATAAAAAAAATATAAATACCTTTTCCCTTTTTCTGAACTCCAGGAGTAAGCTTCACTTTGTATCTTTAAAAAGGAATTGTATATGTTACTAAATAGATTACAAAACAAATCATAAATCACTACGCCAGCTCTTTTGAGGAAACTGACGCGGACTTACTTGTAGTTTGTCATGGTGGTGTAAGGGGCACATATGGGGATGGCAAACAGGAGCACGTCTTCCGGATGCGGCTGCCCTGTCAGAGAGTCAAAGAGATTTTCCTAAAAAGGGAAACAAACATTAAGAATTTACATCAGTTCTAAAAAGGAAAACTCTAAAACCTATCAAATTAGTATTTCAACACATTTTTATCCTTTTCTGACTGATAGTCTTATAGCTCTGCTTTCTAGCCCCCCAAATTTTAAGAACAATGGTGTTTTTTTTGCCTAGCATTTCCAGAAATGAGAATGACTTTCAAAAAGGTACTTGTAATCCATTTAAGAGAAAGGAGAAAAAAAAATTGTTGCAGAAAATGCCTATGAATTAAAAGGAAGCATAACAATGACCACAAATACATTTAAATTCATTGCATGAAAATGGGACTGATACTTTGGACCAGTGGATCTCTACTATGGGGTTTTGCCCCCAGAACACACTGGGCAACAGCTAGAGACATTTCTGGATGTCACAACTGGGGGAGAGGAGCGTGTGTGGGGAGGAGGGGAGTGGGTAGCGAGTGCTACTGGCATCTACCTAGTAGTAGGTAGAGACCAAGGGTGGGACAGGTACCAACACAACAAGGAATTATCCGTCCCAAAATATTCGTAGGGCTGCAGCTGAGAAATTCTGGTCTAGAATAGGTTTCTCTCTTACCTTTTTTTAAGGAGAACTCCTAGGGCTTATAGTTTCCCATTTGGGGGGGATGCCGACAAGGCTACCCATATTTTTAACAACATGAATATATTTGGAGACAAAATGCTTGGTGCTAAGGTAGTGTTAATACGTGCCTTGAACTTTTAAATTACCTTAGTTCTGAAAACAACTCTCTCCTAGTAGGGACAATTATTACCCCCATTCTTCAAATGAGGGAGGAGACACACACAAGCAAAGTTGGGAATGAAACCCAGAAAGTCTTTGACTCTAGATAGTTTTTCTTAGCCTTTTGGTTTTACTTAATTAGGAGTTGTGTCAAATGTGTTCTGGTAGGGGCCCCAACCTGAAATCGTACCTCATTTCCCTGTTGATCCAGATCTTGCTCTTCCTGCTCCAAACATAAAATTTTAAAAGTCAGTTATAACTTAAATTGACATTCTACACAATTAAACACTATGAAAAAGAAACAGTGATTTAATACGACTGTCACATCTTACCAATAGGATAAGGACTCCTAAGTTGTGTCTAATATTTCAGAATGCAACGCCATTCAGAGAGAAAAGGAGCTGTTCTGAGGTTAAAAAAAAACTTTTCCATAGAGCAGCGACTTTCAACTATTTCCGTCTCATGGCACACAAACTAATTACTAAGATTCAGTAGCATACCAAAAAAATAAAATTTTTGCTGATCTGACAAAAAACCAGGTACAGTTTTGATTCAGTATGGGATGGCTACTGTTGTACTGGCTGCTATCAATTTCTAGGGGACTAAGGGAAAAGAGGCCAAAGCCCCTGACTAAATAGTGAGGTGCTGCATGTTTTAAAACTTCCTGAGGCACACTGGGTAAAAAGTCACTGCCATGGAGCATAGGCTAAAGAGGGGAATGTTACAAAGACAACTTAAAATGACAAATAGGCCTGATGCATTTGCCAGGGAAAAAGGAAATGGAAAATTTTAGCAAACAGACGTTTATGTTTTAGTTTCTGTTGAACAGTTTTGGGATAAATTTTCACATATTAAAATAAGGTTTATGGTAATTTTGTTTGCTCACATTAAAAAGCCTATCTGGATATAACCTATCCCTGAAGAACATTAAAAATGAACACATTTAATGAATACTTGTGAATCTAGGGCTTACAGAATTATGAGTATGAGACCACTAAAATTTGAGAACCAAACTGACCTTTAATATTACTAAACAACAACACTGTTCGAGGAAAAAAGAAAACGTCAGAACAGCTAGAACCCCCCTGAGCATTACCTGCACGCAACAGAGCACACAATGGTAACCAAAGCTTTAACAGCCATATATGAAAATACAGGCTGAATCAAAAATTTTTACAAATTTAAAAAACAAGTCCTTTGCTCAGAATTTCAAGAAGATGTACGACAAAGTATGTCTGAGAAAAGTCTAGCCATTGTTAATACAATGAGAATGGTTTGTAGGACATCAATGTAACCTGACAGCCAAGGAATGGACAGGAATGCCCATGCGTGAACAAGGATGACTTCACTGTACTGGTCGGTCAGTGGGGCTGGTAGACGCCATTGAGTAAGCACGTGTACTGTCTGGCCACCGTGTTAAAAATGAGTAGAACAATGAATGTGTATCAAATTTTATGTTAAGCCTGAACGTTCTTCCCCGAAATTATCCAGATGACTCAGAAGGCTGCTGCTCTGGGCAACTGGGGACTGGCATCTTCATCACAATGAGCCCGCTCACACTTCACGTCTCATGCAGAATTTTTAGGCAAAATATCAAATCACCCAGGTAATTTGCTCCCCTAGAGCCCAGATTTGGCACCCTGTGACTTCTGGCCTCCCCCCAAACTAAAACCACCTTTGAAAGGGAACAGATTTCAGACCATTGATGAGATTCAGGAAAATACAATGGGGCAGATGGTGGCCATTGGGAGAACTGTGTGAGGTCCTAAGGTGCCTATTTTGAAGGGGACTGAGGCATCACAGTCCAATGTCTCTATTATTTTTCACATGAGAGCTGCTCAGAAAGTATCCAGCCATCTGATATGCAAAACAGACACTTAGTAAAGAAGATACAAGAAACATTATACACCCTAATGATGCCTCGGCCCCCTTCAAGGTAGGCATGTTAAAACCTCACACAGTTCTCCCAGCATTATTAGGAACTACAGCACGATGTTCCTTCTGCTCTAGTAGCAGAAGCCATGAAACAAATTTTGCCCCAACACATCTCAGGTCAAGATCCTGCATCAAAATCTCAGACATAGTAGTGTTTGAAATCCCCAGATCAGCTTCTAGTTCTCGCACTGTCAGTCAGCGACCTTTGTTCATTGCCAACTGTTCAACACATTCAACAGTCTCAGGTGTTCTGCTTCTTGCAGGCCTTCCAGAACGTGAATCACTTCCAACAGATTCTCAACCACCTTTGAAGCATTTGTGCCACTTTTATTTGTGTTTCACTCATTGCATCATCCCTGAAAGCCTTCTGAATCATCCAAATAACTTCCGTGGAGGAATGTTCATGCTTAATGCAAAATATGATGCAGATTTGTTGTTCTACTCTTCTGAATGCAGTGGCTACACAATACACATGCTCACTCCATGGCACCTACCCCCCACTAATGACTAGTACAGTGAAGTCATCATTGTTCACACACACGCATTCCAGTCCACTCTCCTTGACTGCCAGGTTACACTGATGTCACTCAAACAATTCTCATTACATCAACAAAGGCTGGACTTTTTTCCCTGACAAATCTCGTATTATACGACTGGATACCTCCTGGACAGACCATATATATTCATGCAAGAAGATATACTTAGGGCTGGGCTTATATTCAGTTGATAGAACAATCAGGCAACCATCTTAATAGAAAAATGTTAACTTCTCACTGGTTTTGCAAACAGGGCACTTGGCACTTTAACTGTGTAACCACCCTCAACGTGATGTAAGATAATGAATGCAGCACCTATTCCCGTATAAAAATCTCGAAAAATGCAAATTTACTTTATACTCATCTTCAAGACAATCCCAATTATGCCTTTAAACTTAAGTTCCTAATAGCATCAAATAAAGTCTGTCCAGGAAACTGATATTTTCTAAAAACTTGTTATAAATTTTATCAGCTATCAACACTACCATTTTTACGCTGGTGCCTGGAATTTTAATCTTATAGGTTGTATTTCTAGGGTGACTTTCCATCAAGAACAGGGTTACCACTCATTCTGGTTTTAGCCCTGGTAAGTCCCACGCCCTGGGAACCCAAGGATGACTGGTCACCCTAACTATGAAGGAAAGTCCACACCTGTGTGGCAGCCTCACCTTGTCATCGTGTGGATCATCTACAGCCAAGTCTTGTACCTCATGAGTCAGAACCTGAAGGGATGGAGTTTCTTTCTTTATGCTGTCTGAGACCCGTAATCCACCTCTAGATTTCTGGGGCTGTTTCTTCACTGGTTCATCCTTCATTTTTCCTTTCTTACCCTTCTTCCCCTTTTCTTCTCTGTTTGAGCCTGCAGACTTCAATTCATAGAGGAAAAAACAGTTAATGTCAGTATTTTCAATATTGTCACTATTTTAACAAAAATGTATAGAATGCCTAGCATATATAAATAGGCAGGGGGGTTTGGATGCCCCTTGAAAAGCAAAGGCAGAGAATGTTTTTAGATATTACTTACTCCTAACAATTTCATAATGAGTTCACGATCTTCTTCATCTTGATCTTTGTATTTTTCCTTCATTTTTTTCATTTTACTCTACAAAATCAAGATTTTGGTTGAAAAAATTCAGCAGTTAAAAAGTGACGACGTATGTTTGTAAACAAAAGGCATTTCTTTAGTTCTCTGTCAAAGATACTTATTGAGTAAGGCATGATTCCAAAGATAGATAAATCATACTTCCCATCCCTCAAGGAATTTACTCTCTGGTGGGAAAAGAAGATAGATATAAGAGTAAGCATAAATTAACACAATATATTCTAAATGCTATAAGAGAGGCACAAATTATTTCTAAGATAGTTTTGAGAAAAACATTTCTTTTACGCAAGAACTGTGGGGAATAAAGCAAAACTTGAAAGTCTTAAGGAAATACATTTTATAGTATCTGGGAATATAGGAAAAGCGCAATTATAAGGTAAAGACAGGACAGAGTAATAACAGCAAGTCACTGCGTTGGGTTGCAGTTGGGTTACAGAACAGGAAATGCAGCAAAGCAGGCTGGGTACTTACTGTCCACACTCTTAAGACTGAATTTTATCAATTGAACTAGTGGATTCTTTATTCAGGTTATACATCCAAATAATGCTAGTGGTTTTTAAAACTAGAGATACTTAAGCCTTACCTCCAAAAATTTTTGTCTTGATAAGTTAAGCTGTGGCCCAAAACAAATATCTAAAATTTTAAAGACTTTTTAAAAATAGGGCACACAAACATACACAAAATACTAACTATACAAGACTGATAAGTCAGACTTCATTAAAATAACATGCTGCTCATCAAAAAACACTATTATGAAGAGTAAAAAAAAAGCCACAAAATGTGAGAAGTATTTGTAATACATACATCAAGAAAAGACTTGTATTCTGGACTTCAAAGAACTCAAAGTGCTCAGTACCATTAGTCATCAGGAACATGCAAATTAAAGCCAAAATAAGATTTCAGTATATACACACTTGAATGATCAAAAAATAACCTGACAACACCAAATACTAGGATACGGAGCAAATGGAATTCGGATACACTGCTGTTGAGACACTAGCACAGGTCCTCTGGAAACTGTATTACCTACTTAAAGCCAAACATGCACAGCATAACCCAGACATTCTAGTTCTCACTGTAACACAAGAGAAATGCATGCTTTGGACCTAAAAGACACAGATAAGAATGTCTATTAACAACAGTGTAGATAAACTGTGGCAGTCACACAATGGAACACTATAAGCAACACATATGAACAACATATACAATACCCATGACACACAATGTTGAGTGAAACATGCCAGAAAAAAAGACTATGTTCCATGTGGTTGCTTTTAGATAAAGTTAAAAATGGGCAAAATAATCTACAGTGATTAATAATAATTTTTTGGCCCAGACCAGTGTGACTCAGTTACTTGGTTGGGCACTGTCCTGAAAATGAAACCGCCGCCATTTTGTGCCCAGTCAGGACACGGCCTAAGCCCTGGGTTCGGTCCCTGACAGGGTATGTACAAGAAGTAACCAATCAATGTGTCTTGTCTCTCTCTCACTGATGTTTCTCTTCCTCCCTTCCCCCCTCTCTAAAATAAATATTTTAAAAAGGGAATAATTTGGGGGGGGGGGTAGGATCCTATTTAGAAAGGGGCAAGAGCCCCCTCAGTGAGCTCACTGAGCTAAAAACACTTAAGACTTGTGCATTTTACTATATGTATATTATACCTCAAAAAAACCTTAACATCAACAATATTACCAATAAATTGAACCAAGAAATGGCAAACAGTTTTCTGGAAGATACAGCTTAGGGACACTGAAGACTTGGGACAAACCATACCAGCTATCGACACTACCGTTTGTATGCTTAAGTATAAAACAGGAAACCTGCATGGACCTATAATCATAAGAAAATGTAATTACTACTAAAAACCTACCTTCAAAACCCTAAGTATCAGGCCCAATTTTACAAACAAATACTACTAAATTTCAAGGAACAAGCAGCTCCCATTTTAGACAATGCTCTAGAGAGCAGAAAAGAGGGAAAAGTCCCAAACTTATTCTCTGAAGCTGGTATAACCACACCAAAACCAGACAAAGTATGAGAAATCAGAGGACGATTTCACAGATTTTCTCAAGTAATTTACCACATTAACTAATTAAGAAAAAAATAATACATGCAGAAAAAGCATTCAGTAAAATTTAACTCATCATTATTAAAGATAACTCTTCACAAAGAACATCTACCAATAACTCATGGGACACACCCCGCAGTGATGATGACCTGCAATAAATAGAGCCCTCTAATGTAATCACCAAGAGCGCACCCCACAGTGACGACAACCTGCAGTAGAGCCCCCTAACGTAATCAACAAGGGCACGCACCGCATTCGCCCTACGTAACACTGTGTGCGGATGTTCTAAGACAGTGCAAAACACATGAGCAAAGTCATAACAGATGATGAGATTAGAAAAGAAGAAAAGCCACTAATGACTGTATACACATGAAATATTTTAAAAGTTCAGTAAGACTGCCTATTACAATATGAAGACTATCTTTCCACAGACCAGCAATAATAACTAGGAAGTGAAAGATCAAAAACTAAACCATTTACAAAAAGAAAGAAAAATTTTAAATAGGAATCCATCTTTAAATAAGATGGGTAAGACTTTAGAGGAAAATGTATCTTTATTGAAGAATATAAAGCATTCTTACATAATGATAGCTCATATTTAAGGGCAGGAAGACTCAGTGTATTAAAGATGATAGTTCTCCACAAAATTATCTAAATATTTAATATAATTTAATAAAAATGCCATCAGAATTGGCCTTGGAACTTTATCTGCAGACTATTTCATTGTACAAATACACAATATTGTTTATTGTTATTTTCTACTATTTTCACTTTTCTTGCTACTATAAATATCATTACTGATGAAATCCCCCATAAACACATGACTTTCTTATTTCGGTGCATATTCCTAAAACAGACCTGCTGAGTTAGCAAGTAAATGCACCGCTGGGCCTCTTCCTCGGGATTCCCAGGATGTGCTCTCAAACATTTACTGAATGAGACTGAACACACATCATCTATCAGTTTGATGGGTGAAAAAAGTACCCCTCTTGTTTTGTATAAGCATGTTTTTTTAAATCAGGTTTGTTGTCTGTCTTTCAATAATATTGATGGGTTCTTTTCTCCACCTGGAACTTACTTTTTTCTTTCAAACAAGACTAGCCACTGATTTTTAATATTTCATGCCTTCCCAAACAATTACAGGTCCCATGTCCAGATTTTATGCTGTTTCACTAGTCTTTCTGCCTTTCCTATGTTAACACAATGCTGTTCTATAATGCTAACATTAAAGGACTTAAACCTAGTAAGGAAACTCCCTCCTCAGTCTTCTTTTTCAAGATTTCCTTATTTTCTAGTATTCACTCTTTAGAATTACTTTATCGAGTTAATTAAAATCTCAGTTGCGCCCTGGCTGGTGTAGCTCAGTGGATTGAGTGCGGGCCTGCGAATCAGACAATCGCAGTTCGATTCCCAGTCAGGGCACATGCCTGGGCTGCAGGCCAGTTCCCTGCAGGCCAGTTCCCAGCAGGGGACGCGCAAAAGGCAACCATACATTGATGTTTCTCTCCCTCTCTCCTTCCCTTCCCCTCTAAAGATAAATAAATAAAATCTTAAAAAAAAACTCAGTTGCGACTAAAGTCATGTTGAGCTTATGGAGCCTAACTGATGCTCTTCCCTTCCACATGTGTAGTATGTCCTTGGACTTACTTGAGGCCCACTGAAAAACATCCAAGAAATTCTGATGCTCTGAATGAAAATCATTAAACATGACCTTTATTAAGATTTCAAAGGGGAGACTTCCACCAAGATGGAGGCGTAGGTGGAAGCACTGTACCTTCTCACAAAACCAAGTTTAAAAACAACAAAGTTTTAGCAACAAAAACGCAGCCAAACCACAGAAAATTGAACTACACGGAAGTCTGACAACAACGAACCCTTCAGCCAAACTGGTAAGAGGCAGAGCCAGCAGCAGAGCGGGGTCGGGCAGGAAAGATCCACCAGACTGACCGGGTGCACGACCCAGGTGCACGACCCAGGTGCGCCAGCTGCCGTGGGTGGATCCCAGGTGCGGAGAAGCGGGTGGACCCACTGAGGGCACAAGGCGGTGGACCCACTGAGGGCTGATGGCAGTCACACATTCGCGTGCAGATAAACCGGTGAAGGAGCGAGCGGTGAAACAAACCGTGCAGGACCCAGTGGCAGGAAGCAGCAGAGGGAACTACCATTGTCCCTCTCTGACCCTGCCCCCACATACAGCATCACAAACCAGCGACCTGGGTGGCCCCGCCCTGGTGAACAACTAAAGCTCCGCTCCTCAGATGTACAGGCACAAACAGATAAAAACATGGCTCAAGAACAACTCAGAGCCCCAGAGCCAATAAATCTAAGTGATGAAGAAATAGCCAAACTTTCAGATGCACAGTTCAAACAAAACACTGGTGATCAGGATACTCACAGAACTGGTTGATTTTTAGTCACAAATTAGAGGAACAAATGAAGGCTAAACTAATTGAAATGAAGGAAAGTGCACAGGAAACCAATAGTGATGGGAAGAAAATTGGGACTCAAATAAAGGGAGTGGACCAGAAGGAAGAAAAAATGACCAAACAGAAAAGGATAAAGAAACAAGAATTAAAAAAAAAAATGAGGAGAGGCTTAGGAACCTTCAGGACATCTTTAAACCTTCCAACATCCGAATTATAGGGGTACTAGAAGGGGAAGAGGAACAGCCACTAGTGGAAAACTTATTTGAACAAATAATAAAGGAGAACTTCCCCAATCTGGCAAAGTAAATAGATTTCCAGGAAATCCAGGAAGCTCAGAGAGTCCCAAAGAAGTTGGACCCAAGAAGGAACACACCAAGGCACAACATCATTACATTAGCCAAGATTAAAATGAAGGAGAGAATCCTAGAAGCAGCAAGAGATAAGGGGACAGTCACCTACAAAGGAGTTCCCATCAGACTGTCAGCTGATTTCTCAAAAGAGACCTTACAGGCAAGAAGGGTCTGGAAAGAAGTATTCCAAGTCATGAAATCCAAAGACCTACATCCAAGATTGCTCTACCCAGCAAAGCTTTCATTTAGAATGGAAGGGCAGATAAAGTGCTTTTCAGATAAGATCAAATTCAAGGAGTTCATCATCATCAAGCCCTTATTATATAAAATGTTAAAGGGACTTACCTAAGAAAAAGAAAATAAAAAGATAAACAGTGAAAGGACAGCAAACTCACACTTATTAACAACCACACCTAAAACAAAAGCAAACTAAGAGGACAGCTAGATCAGGAGCAGAACCATAGAAATGAAAATCCCATGGAGGGTCAGCAACAGGGGAGTGGGAGAAGGAGAAGGAGGGAGAAGGTACAGAAAATAAATAGCATAGATGGTAGGTAGAAAATAGGAGGGAGGGCAAGAATAGTATGGGAAATACAGAATCTAAAGAACTAGAGACACGTGGTCATAAACTAAAGGGGGGGGAGGGGGTGTGCAGGGTGGAGGGGAATGAAGGGGGATAAATAGAACAACTGTATCGGCATAATTAATAAAATATATTTTAAAAAATAAAAAAATAAAGATGAGCTTCCAAAAGTTAAAAAAAAAAGGTTTCAAAGGAATTTTTTAAAGATACGCTGATGTGTTAGCTGACGATCCCTTCTTTATACTGCTACAGCATTTAAAAAGCATACTCTAATGCACTACTTATTCCCCCATCACCCACCTTTAAGTAAAATATGTAAGATTTCTAATCCAAAGTGCATTAGTAATTGAAAAAGAACCTATTAATCTAAATTATCAATAAATACAAGCCTACCACTTTACTACCTGAGTGTCTGCAAACCACAATCTCCCACTTCTACATTAAATGGACCTTCTGCGGAAAGGATTTCAAAGGATCCCTAAATTTCCAGTATCTTTTCAACTAATTTTCAGTCAAAGGATGTCACGTGGGATTACTTTTTGCCTATATCATGTTTCACTTAAACTTTAAAAAATTAAGAGGAACTTCACAGCTTTACTTGGGAACCACACAGTACCACCAACAACCCACCCGAAGCTTCATTACCTTCTGCCCTCGCTTCACTGGCTGCATGGCCGGGGCGTTTCTGCTTGTGATCTGATGAGTTTCAACGTGTAAAGCGTCTTCTTTTTCTTTGTCCTTTCCCTCCATCATTTCTAAATCCCCTGAGTCACTTGGAAGCCTTTTCTTCTTTAGTTCCCTAAAAATATGTGAAAAGGAAACATTTGATTTTTAGAATTTCAAATTCTTAGTGTCCTAAGAAAATTACATGGGGAAGGGAACATGTACAACATGTAAAAGACCATGGCTTCTGCTTAACTCGATAATCACTGGGCTACGGTATACAAAAAAGTGCAATCCATCACTCAGGGGAAAATCTTTAATTCTTCTCTCATGGACTTATCATTCTTTTTGTCATCCAGGCTCAACACACTGTCACCCTTGACTTATCCTAATTCAGGGGCTACATTGAGTCCCTGACACCTGGAGAGCCAGGCACTGGGATCTGTAGTCTTTTTAATCAATGTGGCCCTGTCAGATCGTAGCTAGCCAATAAAATATTTGTTGGTTGGCTGAAGAAATGGATAAAAAGTAAGCAGATTATGAAGGAAAGGCAAATTCTATTCCCGTAATATATTTTTCATGTGCAATCTCCATTCCCAGTGCCACAGCTCTAGGCCAGGTCCCCATCACTTCCTAACCCTGACTTCCTCCAGTGACTTCCCCAATAATTTGTTCTATAAGAATTTTTAGATTAATCTTCCTTAAATGTTTACCTATGTCACATTTCCATTCAAAATCTTCCAAAAGTCCTCCTCATACTACGTTCAGGACAAAATCCAAAATACTTAGCTTGTCATTCTAAGTTCTCCACACATGGTCCAAATTCACTTTGCCAATCTTACCCACCAGTCTTAAACATGAACTGTCTGTGCCTTTTACCTCAGACTTTTTTTTTAATTTTAAAAAATTTATTTATTTTTAGAGAGAGGGAAAGGAAGGAAGAGAGAAACATCAGTGTGTTGTTGCCTCTTGCGCACCCTAACTGTGAACCTGGCCCATAACCCAGGCTTGTGCCCTGACTGGGAATCGAACCAGCAACCCTTTGGTTCATAAGCCAACGCTCAATCCACTGAGCCACACCAGCCAGAGTAAAGTCTATTTTTTTTAACCACTTCTTCAAAGCATTCTGCATATACTGTTTCCAAATTCCTGCTCCCCTTTGTTTATGGTAATTCTCTCTGATGTCTTCAAGTCCTGCCTTATTATCTTCACTTACCCAAATGCTAAATACATTTTAAAGAACACTTCTGATGGTTATTTCCCAGAACACTTGAACTCACAGCAATTTCTTACTCCTCAACTACTTATCACTTTCAGACAGCACTACAGCTGACCCCTGAATACCACAGGTTTGCACCTACATGCCCCGGAGAAGTGGACCCAGGCACTTCGTGGGTTCAAACCCATGCTGTTGAAGAGCCGACTGTATCTGCAGTCCTGGGTGAGGAGCCCACGGACGCCGAAGCCCGACCGTGGTTGGATGAGGATTTCCTACTGCATGGGGGTCAGCACCTCTGACCCCTCGTGTCGTTCACGGGTCAAATGTATTTACAGATTTATGGCTATTTCCTGGATCCAGGACTCAAAAGCCTCTTGATGACATGAACTTTGTATTTTACCTCTTTGTACACCACTCCGAATCTCTCTCACCCACAGCAGGCATCTCAGGTGCCCCATTTCTTCTGCTTCTACCTTTCCATTTGCCTCCTGAGACCAGCTATTTTTAAAAACAAGACCGAAAGTCTTCCCTCTTATATAAAACTTTCCTAGTTAATTTCAAGTTATGCCTATTTATTTCGGTCAATATTATCCCAAAATTAGCCTATTTAATACATTGTAGTTACTACTGTACATATTTATGCAATAGAATGTCTTAGGTCACATGACCTGTCTCATCAATTACAGTGACAGATTAGGGTCTAAAATAGAAAAACCTATTGGAGCTGAATACTAACAACTAAGTAAGATTTATGTTGAATCTTGGTAATGTTAGTAAGATCTTTAGAACAGCCAGGTGATTTGTCATAACTGAATTGTCAGCAAAAAATAATCACATGCTTTTCAGTTAGATCATACAAATACATTTACCTTCTTTCCTTGGCTGACAAATGTCTCCGGCTCTGTAATTTACTGTCACCCTATTAAAAAAAAAAAGTAAATACAAACAATATCACTACTATTAATTTTTCAAAAAGTAAAAATAAAAAGTAGAAACTTATTCTATTCATTGAGAAGGCCATGATGATCGTCATAAAACTCTGAAAACAGCTTACCATATTAGAAGAGTCCTGTTTTGAAGCCAATTTCTGGAAGGACCTACGAAAAGAGGCGTCCACTGGCCTATAGAAGGCATTCATTTACAGAGTCCCAAACATTCCCACATCACACTCTCTAATTACCGACACTCCTACAAATTTTCAAATTTGGTAAAATAGAAGAAGAAATCATTAAATTGTTCATTTTCTCACACTTTTTAGTTTATTTTTAAATAGCTAACATGTATTCAATGCTTATAATGTGCCAGGCATGGCTAGATGTGTTACATGTAGACGCGTTACATGTACCGAACCTTCACCAAAATCCAAGGGATGGGAACAATGTTCCGTTTTCACCGAGAAGAAAACTGAAGCTCAGACAGAAAGTAACCGGCCCAAGGACACACCCTAAGACTCAAGTCTGGTCGGACTCCTAAGCCAGTCTTAACTACTCCAATGGCAATGCTTTTATAACTATGGTATTGTTTATCTGGTGATCAGGAAGACACTACAGACTGAAATACTGTATTTTTTGGATGGAAATGCCTTTCTTATATTATTAGCATTTATAACCATTATTTCATTTTTTACTAAGTTCGGCTGCTTTTCCATTTACTGTATTTTTCCATCCTGGGTCTTGGGAATTTGTTTAGAGAGATCTAAACAAATCTCCCTCCCTGAATAAACTGTGAAAAGATAAAAAGACCAATCAACAATGGAGGGTGAACATACTAAGGTCAAGCTTGGTATTATCTTTTTAAGGATTAACTCTTCATCATTCACAGCTTACAAAACAAAACTTAAAATTACAGCTTTAAAATTACCTTTGGGACTGAAGGTGGGACAAGTCAATGGTAGTGTCAGGATAATTTATTGTCTCTTCCCCTTTGTCTTTCATTTCACCAACAGATTCCTGATCTTTTACCACCTCTTCTGATTCTCCTTCATCTTCAGAGCTTTCTTCCTGCATTAGATCTTCATTCAGCTCTTCTCCACCACTCTGAATAGTAACATCCTCCTGGTCGACCTGGGTCACAAGTTCTACCTGCACGGGAGTTTCCTGTAACTCCTCCTTATCTTCTTCACTGCTACTGTCGCCTCCATCTGCAGAATCACCATCAGGAAAGTCAGAGTGCTACCACCACAACTAAAAGCTAGACGATTTCCTTGAAGACTTCAAAATGTATTTCACTGACTCTATTTCTCCAAAAGATCACCAGAAATTGCCTTGATTGTCCCCAAAAGGTGCTCTCATTGACACAGAAGAATGCTCCATGTCATAAACTGACTGGAATAAATGATTTCCAAGATGCTTTACTATAATAAATTTATTATACATTGCAACCATTTCTAAAATAAAGATTATATCTTGTCTTTGTTAGGTATTTCCAAAAAGGAGGACAACAGAAGGAAGTCTATAAACTCTGCTGCTGTTATTATAATTAGCACCTGAGAACTGAAATGAGATTATACACATTACGTAGCTGGCACACAGCAGGCGTTCACCCTCTGGCAAAAAGAACACTGCCCAGCAGTTAGAACACGGTCTGGCTGTCTCCCCTGTAACATGCGGCCCCACCACTCATCTGACAAGGATGGTTGTGAGAATTCAGTAAAAGTAATGTAGACAAAGCACTTCATATAGTATCAGGAACAGGGTGAAAATTTTAAAAACAGAAATCTTGTAGTATAATAGTAGTCGCAAATGAAACAATGCAGTATTATCCCTAAAAATGAATGATCTCAGGACAAAGACTAACTTATAAAAATAACTTAGATATTTTCCTTACTTCCTTTGGGTTGGTAGGTAAATTTTGTTTAGAAACCATAGTTGCTCTCTACTGGAAGCACATATATTATTAAAGCAAGCTAAATTACCATAAAGGAAATTGTACTTGTTATAAACTCATCTTTGTATCACTTTTAATTCATAAACCCAAAAGTAAATGCTCATTCACATTTATGTTATCCATTAAATACTGAAGTTTTACTATATAAACATATTCAAGTATATTAGTTATAGATCCAATTATTGCATAATTTACTAGAATTATAAACATATTCGCCATTTCCAAAAACAAAAAGTCACTAAAATTAATAGCAAAGTGGTTTTTTTTGAAATTTCAATGATCCCCAAGAAGACATGATTTTTAAGTAGGAACTGAGAAGCCAAACAGCCACAGAAAACACTGTGAGCTACTGGACTTCAGTCTGGGAACTACCAGGTTGCTCGAGCTCCTCCGAAGCGAGGTCACTCGCGCAGCTCGCCAGCGTCTCCACGTCTTCGTCCTGCACTCTGACCTTCCGTTCACCCCGATGTCTCCAAACACAGGACTCCTCCACCTATGGAAACAGTGCTTTTTCACTGATGGAACTTTAGGTGAGGCTAATGAAAATCAGAAAAAAATAATGAAAAAGATGAAGAGTACCTTAAAGAGGAAGCTAAACCCCATCATTAGATATGACGGAGGAAGGAAATTCTTTTTTCCTACAAAAGACAATATACATAAATGTTTTATAAATCTGTTTATTCTATGCTTGCAAGATATCTGACACCAACGAGTCACATCTGTTTTGTCTTTTCTGTCATGAAGAAACACTTCCAATTTATAGAAACTGGCATTAAGACAGAAAAACATGACTGCTCTTATTCTTTGAGTTAGTCAGACCCTGAATAATCAATTTCTAGAAAAATGGTCATGTTCTATTTTTTTACCCATACAACTTTAAACTAAGTGAAAGTACATTCTCATCAACTGAAAAAATATGAACACAGCATGACCAATGTTAAATTTGCCACAGCAGAGGAAAGTTTTCCTATTTTATAACAGACTTCATACGTATACAATCACAATGTGCCAGTCCTGAGGGCATTAGCAGACGCTCCTCAAACCTCAAACTTTCATAACCCACGGACAGTCATTACCTCGTATCATGAAGCTGCCTGTTGTCAAATACTCTCCAGTTGGTGCTGTTTTAGACACCTGAGGAGAAGAGTAATACATTATAGTACTCTTGTCTTCAGAAATACTTGTAAAAATTTGTTTCACTTGAAAAAGTAAAGTCATATTCAAGTTAGCAGCACCACAAAGCTTATAATTTAGTGAAAATTCTCAATGCTGGTGGTATAGATACACCTCTCTTCAATGATATATAGCCTTTGCTGTAACACAGGGAAAAATACATAATAAAAAATACACTACATCGGTACTTTTTAAATTTCTTGGATTAGAGCCAGAACTGATCCACATGTTTCTTCTGGTGTGAGATATAATGAGAAGAAACAGTTTAGAGATTTACTATAAAACTATACTTACTAAAATTCAATGATATTTATTAAATAAAATCCTTCTCTGAGATACTTTTTTTGGTAATAAAATAACCTTTCATTTTAGGAAATAAAAGTGATACCAGATTTAAAAATATATATTCTAATTTGTCAAAATAGAAAGTGAGCAAGATAAATCTACAATTAAAAAAAAATTTTATACAACTATGAAATTCCCAAATCTGAGAATATCTGTTAGCCATTGTTATGCAAGGGATTAAAAGCATGCTGAAAAACCTATTCACAAAAGAATTAAAGTCACTTTTATAACAAGACTGAGGCAGAAAATCTGATCTCAGGTGTGATATTGATTTCCTAAAAACCCAGTATCACAGCCCAGAAGAAAACAACAGATATAAAATGAAACTAAATCTAAGGAAGTGTAATGGCACTGAACTGTTTACCATAAGCTTTTGGACCTTATAAAGGTATATCATTATTAATTATAATTCTTGAAAATGTGTATTAATAACAGTGTGAACCCTAATGTGGAATGAAGTATCATCAAATAAAGTAGTACTAACCACTGAGAGAGACAACTACTAAAATCACCTGAATACAAAACCACTGGACACACCTAGTTTTCTGGAATGGCCAAAGAGAATTCAAAAATTCCAACAAATAAGAGTAAGAGAAAGAAGGCCTTTCAGGTCAGTATAGCAGTTGTAACTGGAACCCTCTCTTCCCTGTGTAATTGCATGGATCACTCTCTCCTCATTTAGATCTCTGCTGTTCAAATCTTACCTTCCCAGATGCTTTATTCAAAATGGTAGCCTATATCACTCTACATCACCTCACTCTGCTTAAAAAAAATCTTAATAGCAATTGCTGCCTGACATTATGTCTTTTTCTCCACCACCAAAATGTCAGCTCCATCAATGTAGGTCCTTAGCCTTGTTCACATCTATGCCCTCAAAATTTGGTACATGGTAGTTCATAATAAATTTTATAAAAGACCACAGCCATTATTACCTGATGATGGTACACCCACCAAGCACTAGTGATAACTCGGGCATCCCAAGCAGCACTGTAGCAAAGTGCCATTGTGCCAGCTTCAGTCAAGGTCCGAGGGGGAATCGGTTCTCCTGTAACAACACGCTACAACGCTTCAGTACCAAAGGACAGACTTTGTACAGAGCAAGAAGAGGAAATCACATACATGGCAGGTTCAATCTTTTTATATCTCAAACACTAATATCTACTTTTATTTCAATATTATAAAAAGTCACTTTTTATTAAAAATGTGTTTATTACAGAGGCTTTTAAATGTTTATGTAAATAAAGTTAGAGTATATCCTCTCACATCAATAATTCTAACTTTATTCCAAAACAGATAATTTTTAAAATCTATTTAAAATTGGAAGATTTCCAGAATTACTACAGATTGCCTAAATCATTACAATAAAAGGCTTATTAATAACATACCTCTGGTTAGATTTCAAATCTTTTAAAACTGGGATAGAATTCACACACCATAAAATTCGCCCTTTTAAAACGTACAGCATGGGACAAAAGTAGGCTTACGGTGGCAAGTATGCAAACACAGAGTTCCTTCTTGTATTATTTATTCCCCAAATTCTATGTCCATTAATAGTCACTCTCCATTTTCTCAGCCCCTAGCATCACTTATTTTGTTTGCATGGATTTGCCAATTTTGGAATTTCATATACAGTTGATCCCTGAATAACACAGGTTGGAATGTGTGGGCCCACTGATAAACAGATTTTTTTCAATAAATACTGTAAATGTATTTTCTTTATGATTTAAATTTTCTTTTTTCTTTTAAAGATTAAATTTATTTTATTTTTTAGAGAGGGGAAGGAAGAAAAAGAGGGAGAAACATCAGTGTATGGTTGCCTCTCATGTGCCCCGCACTGGGGATATGGCCCACAACCCAGGCATATGCCCTGACTGGGAATCAAACCGGCAACCCTTTGGTTCACAGGCCAGCACTCAATCCACTAAGCCACACTAACCAGGGCTTCCTTATGATTTTCTTAATAACATTCTTTTCTTTAGCATACTTTACTGTAAGAATATAGTATGTGATACACATAATATACAAAATAGGTGTTAATCAACTACTTATATTATTGATAAGGCTTCTGGTCAACAGTAGGCTATTAGTTAAGCTTTGGGAGAGTCTGTCTATACATGGAAAAGCTATACATGGATTTTTAACTGCATGAGGGCAGGGAAATAGGTGGGGAGTGGGACAGGTCAGTGCGCCCCTAACCCTCCCCCTCCACTAGTTCAAGCATCAACTATAAATGGAATTATATGTCTGGCTTCTTTTAGGTAGCATGTTTTCAAGGTTCACCCATGCTAGAATATGTCTCAGTAATTTCTCTCTCTTTAAGTATGAGTAATAAGCCTTTATATGAATATACTACAATTTGTTTATTCATCAACTGATGACATAGGGGTTGTTTCCATATCTTAGCTATTATACATAATTCTGCTATGAATATCTCCAGGTAAGTTATGTGTGGACATGTATTTTCAATTACTTAAGTTACATACCTAGAAGTAGAATTGGTAAAGTCTATGTTTAACTTTTTGGAGAACAAATTCTTTTCTATGGCAGCTGCATTGTTTTCTGTTCCCCCCAACAGTGTATAAAAGTTCCAATCTTTCTACTTCCTCATCAAAATTTGTCTCATTGATTTTGAAATGCATTTCCCTAATGATGAATGACGCTGAGCATCTTATGTGTTTATTAGCTATTTATGTACATATTTGGAGAAATGTCTGTTTGATCTGTTACTTGTTTTTAAATTGTGTTTTCTGTCTTTCTACTGCAAGAGTCCTTTGGGTCCTGGTGCTATTAGATAAATGATTTGCAAATATCTCCCCCTGATCTGCAGGCTGTCATTTTCACTACCTTGATACTGTTCTTTAAATTAAGATCTTAAATTGTGATTTAGTCCAATTTATGTGGTTCCCCCCCCCTTTGGCTGTTTATGCTTTTGGTGTCGTATATAAGCAATAACCTTCTGATGGTGAGGATTTATGCCTTATATTCCTGTAATGGCTTTATAGTTTTAGCCTTTAAGTTTAGGTCTTTGAGACATTTGAATTAGCTTTTATAAATGATGTGCAGTAGGGGATCTGCCTTCATGCTTTTGCACACTGGTATTAGCTGTCCCAGCACCGTTTCTTGAAATAGTTATTCTACCCCCATTGAATGGCCTTGTTACCCTTGTTGAAAATAAACTAAGGAATATCAATCAACTCTTTATTAATCTGTCTGTCCATCCTTATGCCACTACCATACTGCTTTAATTGCTATTGATTTGCAGGAGGATTTAAAATCAGGAAGTGTGAGTTCTCCAATTTTATTCTTCGCTTTCAAGAATAATTTGACTCATCTGGGTCGTCTGCATTTCCACATTCATTTTAAGACCAGCTTGTCTATTTTTTTTTTAAGGCAGCTGCAATTTGATAGAGATGACATTGAATCTACAGATTAATGTGGGAAGTACTATCATCAGAACATTAACACTTCCAGCCCATAAATACTTCTTTCCAATTATTTGGGTCTTAATTTCACTCAGTGGTTTTTTTTTATAGTTTGGGGTATATGTTTTACATTTATTTTTGGCAAATTTACCCCTAAGTGTTTTATTATTTTTTTAATACTATTATAAATGGACATTTTATTAAACTTCTTTTAGGGCCTGGCTGGTGTGGCTCAGTGGATTGAGTGTCAGCCTGCGAAGCAGGGAGTTACTGGTTCAATTAAAAGTCGGGACACATGCCTGGGTTGCAGGCCAGTCCCCGCTTGGGGGACGCATGGAAGGCAACCACACACCGATGTTTTTCTCTCTCCCTTACTTCCCTCTCTCTAGAAATAAATAAAATCTTTAAAAAACTTCCTTTTCGTACTGTTCATTACTACAGCATGGAAATAAACTGACTTTTGTAATTGTTCTTATATTCTAAACATTGCTGAACTTGTTTATTAATAATTTTTTGTGGATTCCTTAAGGTTTTAAGATCAACTAACTACAAACACAGTTTTATTTGTTCCTTGCCAAGCTGGATATTTTTACTTCTTATGGCCTAATGGCCTAATTAGAACCTCCATAAAATGTTGAATGGAAGCGTTTTCAAAAACAGGCATGAGCATCTCATTTGTGATCTTAGGAGAAAGTTTTCAGTCCTTCAGCATTAAGTATCATTGTCAGCTGTGGGTGCTTCCTAGCTATTCTTTACCAAGCTGAGGAAATTCCCTTCTATTCCTCATTTGTTGATTATTCATCACAAGTGGGCGTTGGATTGTGGCCAAAGGCTTTTTTTGTACCAACCGAGACGACTGTGTAATTTTTATCCTTTATGCTATTAATATATTTTACTGCATTGACTAATCTTCCATCTTAAGACACACCTGGCATGCCTGGGATGAACCCCACTTTGTCGGGATGTATAATGCTTTACTATGCTGCTAGATTCGGTTCCCTATTATTCTGTTGAGGACTTGTGCCTACATTCATAAGCGATACTGATCTGTAGTTTTTTTCTTGTGATGTCTGTCTGGTTGTGTTATTAGGGTAAAACAGCCTTGTATGAGTTAGAAAGTGTTCCCATTTCTTCTATTTTTTGAAGACTTTGTAAAGGACTGATGTTTAATCATCTTTAAAAGTCTGGTAGAATTACCCAGTGAAGTCATGAAGGCCTGGGATTTCTTTTGTGGGTGGGTGTTTTTTAAATGACTAATTCAATCTTTTCTTATAGGTTTGTTCTCATTTTCCACTTCACCTTGGGTCAGTTTGGTAGTTTGTGTCTAAGATTTCTGTCCTATTTCAACAAAGTTATCTAATTTGCTGTTGTAGAACTATACATAGAAATTCCTCAAAATCCTTTTGATTTGTTAAATCCCCTCTTTTATTCCTGCTTTTAGGAATTTGAATGTTCTCTTGTATTTTTTTGGTTAAGTCTAGGTTTATCAATTTTGTTGATCTTTTCAAAGAACCAACTATGGTTCCATTGATTTTCTCTATTATATTTCTAGTCTCTTTCAATAATTTCCATTCCATTATTTCCCTCCTCTCCTTACTATGGGTTATTAGCTTTTGTTTTCTAGATTTTAATGATTACAATTTTATTATTGAGATCTTTCCTCTTTCTTATTATAGGTATTACCACCATAAATTTCTAAGCACTGCTTTAGCTGTATCCCATAAATTCTGATACACTGTTTTTGTTGCATTCTCTCAAAGTATTTTCTCACACACCCCTGGTGATTTTTCTCTTTGATCCATTGTTTATTTATGAGTGTGTTGTATAATTTCCATACATTTGTGTATTTTCCAATTTTTTTTCTATTAATGGTTTCTAATTTCACTCCATTATGGTCAGAAAACTCACTCTGTAGGACTTTAACAGTTTTGAATTTACTGAGATGTGTTTCACAGACTGTCACATGGTATGCCCAGAGAACGTTCCATGTGCACTTGAGATGAATGAGAATCTACTGTCGTTAGGTGGCATGTAGTACAGATGTGTCGGGTCTAGTTAACTCTGTGTTGTTCCAATCTTCAATTTCCTTGTTAATTGTTAAACTGCTGAAGTCTTCATGAACTATTACTGTGGCATCTATTTCTCCCTTCAATTCTGTCAGATTTTACTTCACATATTCTAGGGCTCTAGTTGTTGAGTTCGTGCGTTTATAACTGTCATATCTTACTGATAGATTGACCCTCTTTTCATTTAAAGTGTCTTCCTTTACTTTTATTCACAATTTTTGTCTTACACTAAAATATTTTAACAAAAGGAACCATAAGTTGGGAATAGAGAGAAATATATTACCTGTTGGATTTTTAATTACACAGCTAGTAGCTCCATGAAGATCAGCATGTACATAAATGTCTCCTTAAAAACAAGAAATGATACTTTGAATCCCATGTTTTTTCTCAGTTAAAATTATTTGTTTACTGTTCAATGGGTTCAAAATCTAAAACAGATAAGAGAACGCAAAAATTCCACCTCCTACCCCTGGGGGATTTCTCACAGGCCTCCTTACAGGAAAGCAATGACAACATGGTAGGTTACAAAAATGGTCACAATTCCTCTCCCTTCCTCTATCCATACCTCTTCACTCTGTGACTGTGAACCTTTTCCCATCAAGAGGTAGAGTCTACTTCCCCATCCCTTGAATCTGGGCCTACCCCATGATCTGCCTTGGCCAGGCGAATGTGGCAGATGTGACCAAGCGCCAGATCCCAGCCTAGACCTTAAGAGGTATTGCATGCTTCTTCTCTTAAAAATTTGCTGAGTTACCACGTAAGAAAGGCCAGGCTAGCCTGCTGGAAGGCTGAAACACATGGAACTAATGAGCCATCCTAGCAAGTACAAAGGTCCTGAGAACTTATGGATGCTTGACATGTTGGGAGACTGGGGGAAGAGTGGTAACAATAGAGGCTGCAGAAGCCAGGATCCTTATAAGCTATGACCAAGACTTCCAGTGTTATTCTAAGTGTGTGAAAGCAAGGAATGAACAAAGGAACAAACAGATGAATGCAAGAATAAATGGTCAACCAGAGTAAAGGAAAACGCACTGTTCCTAGCAGATAAAATGAGCAGTCATTAATTGCTGTGAACAGGTCACCTGGGATTTGAAACTCAAAGAAAAGCAAAACCCATTATTGCCCTATGACAGGCACAACTCATAATAAACAGAGCTAGAGAAGACAGAGACCAAGCCCTGGGAAGCATGTAAGCTGATCCTTGTTGCCTTCTTTCCTGGGTCAGGATCCTGAGTGCACATCAGATTGGTTCTGATATTGATTATTGATTCCTGATACCTACACTGTGTTTTAGCCACAGTGAGGCAGTGTATATCAGAAAATAAAGGAGAGGAGAGTTCCAGCCAAGATGGAGGAGAGGTAGAAACATTTTGCTTCCTCACACAACCAAAGAAGGATACAACCAATTTAAAACAAAAAACAGCCAGAAAAATCAAACTGCATGGAAGTCCGACAATTAAAGAGTTACAGAAAAATTCAACCAGACAGCACCATAACACAGCAAAGTGAGGTGCCTAACCCTGGTGAATACCTAAAGCTCTGCCCCTTACAACGTAACAGGTGCACCGAGACAAATACAGCCCGATGAAAGAACAGATTAAAACTTGAGAGAAAGAACTAAGCAACAAGGAGAGAGACAACCTATCAGATGCAGAATTCAAGACACCAGTAACTGGGATGCTCTCAGAAATTACTTGAGTTCAGCTGCAAAAGGAAGAAACAAAGGCTACACAAAGTGAAATAAAGGAAAATGTACAGGGAATCAACAGTGAAGGGAAGGAAACCAGGACTCAAACCAAAGATGTGGAAAAAAGGAAGAAATAAAATTCAACCAGAATACAATGAAGAAACAAGAATTCAAAAAATTGAGGAGAGGCTGAGGAACCTCTGGGAAAACTTTAAACGTTCCAACATCTGAATCGTACATTCCAACATCTAAATTGTAGGGGGGCCAGAAGGAGAAGAGGAAGAGCAAGAAATTGAAAATACAATGAAGGAGAACTTTCTCAATCTGGTGAAGGAAATGGACTTACAGGATGTCAAGGAAGCTCAGAGAGTCCAAAAGAAATTGGATCCAGAAAGAAACACACCAAGGCACATCATAATTATATCACCCAAGATTAAAGACAAGGAGAGAATCTTAAAAGCACCAAGAAAAAAGAAGACAGTTACCTACAAAGGAGTTCCCATAAGACCATCAGCTGATTTCTCAAAAGAGACCTTGCAGGTAAGAAGGGGCTGGAAAGAAGTATTCCAAGTCAGGAAAGGAAAGGACCATCATGCAAGATTGCTCTATCCAGCAAAGCTTTCATTTAGAATGGAAGGGCAGAAAAAGTGCTTCTCAGATAAGGTCAAGTTAAAGTAGTTCATCATCACCAAACTCTTATATGAAATGTTAAAGGGACTTATCTAAGAAAAAGAAGATCAAAACTACAAGCAGTAAAATGACAACAAACTCACAACTATCAACAACTGAACAAAAACAAAAAACAAACTAAGCAAACAACTAGAACAGGAAAAGAATTACAGAAATGGAGATCACATGGAGAGTTATCAGCGGGGGGGGGGGGAGCATGGGGGGAAAGGTACACAGAATAAGAAGCATAATTGGAGAACTCCTGGCCAAGATAGAAGCATAGGCAGAAACCCTTCACTTCCTCACACAACCAAAAGGACAGTAAGAACTTATCTAAAAATCAATAAACAATCAGAAGTGACAGAAAATCAAACTGCATGGAACTCCAACAAGAACGGAATTAAAGAAACAGTCAAAGAGAACAACCAGACCAGTAAGGACACTGCTGAGAGAAACTGTGGCAAGGCAGTGACCATGGGGGGCGGGGGGCTCACTTAAGGAGAAACTGAGACTCAGAGCTGACTGTGGACTATGGTGGTGGTTGCGGCGATGGGAGAAACTCCTAGTCTCACATGAGCATCTTGGAAAGTGCCCTACAGACAAGCAGGCCAGCTGCAATGTTCCCTCTGAGGCCCCTCCCCACAGGTAGTGCCCCAGTGAAGCAAGAAGGGTTGACCTGCCTCCTTACAACATATCAGCTGCACCAAGGCAAAGAAATATGGCCCAAATGAAAGAACAGAGCAAAGCCTCAGGAAGAGAGCTAAGTGAGGAGGAGATACCCAACCTGTCTAATGGAGAATTTAAAGCCTTGGTAATCAAAATGCTCATAAAACTAATTGATCTTGGTCAAAAAATGAAAAAATAAATGAAAGATACCCCAAATGAAATAAAACAAAATATTCAGGGAACCAACAGTGACAGGAAGGAAACCAGGACTCTAATCAACAACTTGGAACAAAAGGAAGAAATAAACATCCAAACAAACAGAATGAAGAAAAAAAGAAAACAAAAAAAGAAAATGAAGACAGACTTTTGAACCTCTTTGACAACTTGAAACGTTCCACTCACTATCCAAATGATAGGGCTACCAGAGGGAGAAGAACAATAGCAAAAAATTGAAAACTTATTTGAACAAATAGTGAAGGAAAACTTCCCCAATCTTGCAAAGCAAATAGACTTCCAGGAAGTCTAGAAAGCCCAGAGTCCCAAAGAAATTGGACCCAAAGAGAAAAACACCAAGGCACATCATAATTATATTACCCAGATTAAAGATAAGGAGAGAATGTTAAAAGCATCAAGAAAAAAGAAGACAGTTACCTACAAAGGAGTGCCCATAAAACAGTCTGCTGATTTCTCAAAAGAAACCTTGAAGGCAACAAGGGGCTAGAAAGAAGTATTTGAAGTCATGAAAAGGCAAGGACCTACATCCAAGATCGCTCTACCCAGCAAAGCTTTCATTTAGAATGGAAGGGCAGATAAAGTGCGTCTCAGATAAGATCAAATTCAAGGAGTTCATCATCATCAAGCCCTTATTATATGAAATGTTAAAGGGACTTACCTAAGAAAAAGAAAATAAAATATATGAATAGTAAAATGACAACTATCAACAAATGAACCTAAAAAATTAAAAGAAAGAAAAGCAACAAAAACAAAAACTAAGCAAACAACTAGAACATAAACAGAATTAGAGAAATGGACATTACATGGAGGGATTTCAGTGGGGACGGGGAAGAGAGGAATAAGGGGGAAAAGGTACAGGGAAGAAACAGCATAATTGGTAGGCATTATAGAGGTAAAAATGGCATAGGAAACAGAGAACTCAAAGAACCTACATGTACAACCCATGGATGTGAACTAAGGGCTGGGGAATGCTGGACAATTGGGGGTGGGGGGTAGAGGGGGGAGGGGGGATAAAGAAGAAAAAATTGGGAAAACTGTAATAGCATAATTAATAAAATGTACTGAAAAATAAATAAATAAATAAAAACTTAAAAGACAATGAATGAGAGGGCCTTATACCCCAGGGCTTAAGTCTTAATTATAAATGTTAAAAAAGGTTACAAATTTCAGCACTGAGAAATTAAGCTTTTAAAAATTTGATCTTCAATGATTTTGGAGGATTGGAAATCATTAATATTTGTTAATGTAACAGAAAATCAAACGTCTAGTATTGGAGATAAGCTCAACACTGCTACTTTAGGAACATTACCTAAAACGAGAATTAAGATTAAACCATAAACAAACCATCCAACTCTTTCTACCAATTGAATGTGTCAAAGAAAATACCTAGTATTTTCTACACCTAGTATTGAGACAACTGATCCAAATACTTAACTGAAAATTCTTTAGAATTTTAATCTCACCTACCTGCTGACAAGTATCGTTTCACGATTACTTCATTCTGTTGCTGATCTCGTCCTCCTATAATTAGATAGTTCTCTGAGCTAATGAACCACAGAAATTTCTCAAACCTACCAAATTGAAAGAACAAAAGTTAACATTTCTTTTCCTTCGTAGTTGCCTAAATTCACATCCTTTTTATAAAGAAAACAAGACAGGAAGCTATCCTGTGTAGGTTAAGACAACTGGTTTGATTTTCCTTAAGCCGTGAAGTTTAATTTTCTTGAAATCTTCTAATACAAATTGTTCTACAATATTCTTAACAATCTGAGAAGAAAGCACCTACATTCTATGTTTAAAAAATTATATGTTCTCTCCTTATCTCCCTCTCATATAGACAGTGTTCTTAAAACAAGGATGACTTATAACAATGAATTATACAAAGCCAAAGAATAAAGTGTTGCATGGTCCCTAGCTTTAGCTTTCTTTCACTGGGGAACTGGATAGGCTGTGGGACCGCTGGGAAGAGAAAAAGTTCCTCTCATTCTGTCCTCAATTAATCAACTGAATATTTACATATATGATATTCTTTACATTTATTTTTACACAAAAGGCCAAATACTACCTTTAAAAGTGTAAAATTTCAACCTCTCTTAAGAGACAAAGTCATCTGGGTTTTTCATGACTAATATGTACCATCAGAATAGTAAGGAATAAGTGTGTATTTGTGCGACATTTAGAAAATGGCATGCAATAGCAATGAATATAAATACCCGTATGTTCTATATGACAATCAAGATAATCTTTTTCATGACTTACTAGGAAGTTATAACTTCTACATTAGTATCACTAATAAAGCAAAAACTGGCAGAAGTAAAAGGAGAAACAGACAAATCCACAATTGTGTGATATTTAATACACCTTTCTCGGTAGCTGAGAAAATAAACATTAAAAAAAAAACAATTAGTAAAGATGTCAAAGATTTGAACATCATGGTTAATAAATATGACCTAGTTGATATTTACAGAAATGTATTCCAAAACGATAGGACACTTTTTTCATCTATATATGAAACATTTATAAATGAAGCTAACCATAAAAGTATGCTTTTTTGGTCATAAAGCAAATTTAAAAACAAATGTCAACAGACTGAGACCATTCAGAATATATTCTATGACCACCACTATGCAAATTAAGCTAGGAGTCAGTAAAAAAAAAAAATTACCAGAAAAGATCCATATGTTTGGAAATTAATACTTTTAAATCATGCAGAAATAAAGAAATTTCAATGGAAAATTGAACATTTTGATGTGGAAGATAATGAAAGTAATACACAACAAAATGTTTTAGATGCGGTCAAAGCCAGGCTTAGAGGAAAAGTTATCAGCTTAAATATATATTAGAAAAGAAAAGAGGCCAGAGGGAAAAAAGAAATCAATGTACTACGCTTCCATCTCAAGAAGTCAGAAAGGGAACTACAAATGAATCCCCCAAAGAAGTGGGAAGACGAAGAAGTGGAAAGAGAAAGCATGCACATATATAACAGTGGAGATTAACAGTCAAAAATTGGCTTTACAAATATTAATACGACTAAAAATCCTCTGGTCAGACTAATTAAGAAAAAGAGCAGGCACAAATAACTACTGTGTATGGGATGTCATTAATTATCCTAGAGTATGTTGAAAAGTAGAATATTATAAACATTTTGCCAGTACATCCAAACTTTAGACAAAACAGGTGAAGTCTTAGAAAAACATTGCTAATCAAAACTAGAATATCTGAGTTGGCCTTATACCTGCTAAGACTTTGAATCTAAAATTTTAAAAAACAACTTTCCCATTAAAACTTTAGGACTCCTCAGCCTCACAGCTGAATTCCATCAAACAAGTAAGAGAAACTGATAAAGGAACACGTCCCAATTTCCCTTATGGAGCAGTATAACCTTGATTCCACTATGAACATGAACACTGTGAGAAATGAAAATTACAGGTCAATCCTCTTTATCAACACAGATGTCAGAGGGGAAGGAGAAAATCGCAGCAAAATTTTGATCAAACTCAAGAAACTGAATCCTGACCTGACAATGGAAAAGCCTAAAAGCACCCCAATTTACACTATGTAACCCATAAAAGACTAAAACACTGGCAGCATAAAGTACTGCTAGAGAAAGGGTTTAAGATGGGGTTAAAAAGAGGAGGACTGTTTGCAAGTCTGATCAAGAAGCAGACACTCTCCTGGATCTTCTTTCAATGCTGAACATGGCGCAACTGTCCTTTCCACACCTTGAGGGAGGCCGGAAGTTAATTCTCGAGAAAGGGTAAAGAAAGCATACTCCGACTAGGGAAAATGTAGCACAGTTTATAAGCAGGGGTAACACATGTAAAGTGGGGCAATTAAGTCAATGTATGAAAGACTGGATACTGAGACTCCCACCATTTCCACTGAACTCCTAAGGTGACAACCAGGTCTTCATTTTACAAACAAAAAGAATCTTTTCTAGAAAGTAAGGCCAGCTTAAGAGGAAAAAAGGTACTGACGTCCAGAGCTCCACACAAAATGGCCCACACAGATGATTTTGTGTGCCCAACCACCCAGAGCACTCCCAATCAACCTTTTAATACTTAATTGTAATATGTGAACAGACAACCAAAGATCACTAGACACTAACATGAAGGCTGGAGACAAAACTAACAATAGAAAGAAAAAAAACTCGGAAAAGACAGACCTGCAGGAAAAGGATACTAAATAAAATTTAAGATTCACCTCTGGTCAAGATGATGGTGCAGGCAGACTTGACTTGCCTCTTCACACAAACACATCAAAATTACAATTAAAATATAGACCAACCATCCATCCCTCATATTACCAGAAACCGAGCTGAATGCAAGTCTGACAACTATGGAATTACAGTGATCACATCCATTCAGACAGGGAGGAGGGGCACAGATGCGGAACAGGCTAGTCCTACACCTATGTGTGCTGGATAAAAATTTGGGCAGGATATCTCAGGAGCAAGGAGTCCTAGACCCACACCAGACCCCCCAGCCCAGAATTCCAGTGCCAGGAATATAAGTCCCCACAACTTCTGGCTAGAAAAACCAGCCAGGATTGAGTAGGTGGATGAAACTTTTAGAGTCCCAAGGAGTTCCTCTTAAACAACCCACAAACAGACTCACTCCCTCCGAGCTCCAGCACTGGGATAGCAGCTTGAAAGGCACCAGTTGTGTACAGGGAGAGACTGAAACGTCTGGCATCAGGGTGAGCAGAAGCCATTGTCCCTTTGCTAAACCCTCCTACCACAGAGCCAGTAGCCTGGTGCCATATCTAAGGCTCCATCAACCAGGCTAACACTGTTTGCCCGGCCTTGGAATTAGAGATCCCCAGAGACTCTGTGCCACCCAACGTATGGGCCCACCCAAGTTGCTTTTTTTTTTTTTAATTTTATTTATTTATCTTTAGAAGGGAAGGGAAGGAGATAGGGAGAGAAATATCAATGTATGGTTGCCTCTTGTGTGTCCCCTGCGGGGAACTGGCCTGCAACCTAGGCATGTGCCCTGATTGGGAATCAAACCGTGGTTGCTTGGTTCCCAGGCCCGCACTCAATCCACTGAGCTACACCAGCCAGGGCTCCAAGTTGCTTTTCCATACGAATGGCTGGTCTTGGCTCATGCTTCACAACTTCCTAAAGCCTATCAAACAAGGAACAGCTGCCTTCCATGAACCCCAGGTCCAGCACCGGTAGCAGCCATCTCAGACTGTTTTATAGCTCAGGCAGGGTGCCCCGGGTAAAACACAGGTGGGGTTGACCTTGGCCTGTACCACCCGGGAAATCCCAGGGCCAACACAACCAGTTGACAGAAAGAGAGCATATCAGAGTGCCACCACCCTGCCCCTGCACAGCTGATCTTCCATGGAGGATAGAGGTTGGTGGTCAGTGGTCACAGCCAGTCCTTACAGCTGTGGGACTGGCCTGGGTAAATCCCTCCCATTGAATTGCCGACAGCAACCAAGACTCAACTACAAGAGGAGGGTATACTCAGCCCACACAAAGGGCACACCTCCAGTGCCCAGCTTGGGTGATAAGGGGGGCTATGCCATTAGACCTTACAGGACACCTACTATATTAGGAACACTACCACAACATGGAGTCAAACCAGCTCTACCTAACACTTCGAAATAAACACAGGGAAGCTGCCAAAACAAGGAGACAGAGAAACATGGCCCAATGGAAAGAACATATCAAAACTCCAGAAGAAGAGCTAAATGAAATGGAGATAAGCAATCTATCAGATGCAGAGTTCAAAACACTTCTTATAAGGATGTTCAAGGAACTTAGTGAAGATTTTAACAGCATAAAAATGATCCAGTCAGAAATGAATACACTAATTAAAATAAAGGACAATTTACAAAAAAAACACAATAGAGTGGATGAAGCCAAGAATCAAATCAATTATTTGGAACATAAGGAAGCAATAAACAACCATGGAGAACAAGAAGAAGAATTTTTTAAAAATGAGGATAGTATAAACTGTCTCTGGGACAACTTTAAGAGGTCCAGAACTCACCTCACAGAGGTGCCAGAATGAGAACAAAAAGAGCAAGAAATAGAAATGTATCTGAAAAAAACAATGAAAGAAAATTTCCCTAATTTGGTAAAGGAAATAGATGTGCAAGTCCAAAAATTACAGAAAGTCCCAACTATGATGGATGCAAAGAGGCCCACTCCAAGACACATCATTATTAAAAGGCCAAAGGTTAAAGATAAAGAGAGTCTTAAAAGCAGTATGAGAAAAGAAATTAGTTACCAGAAGGCTGTAAGATGGAAGAGAGTAGGGAGAGAATAGGTAAAGAGGTGAGGGGATTAAGAAGTACAAATAGGTAAATTATAGAATAGCCACGGGGATGTGAAGTACACTGTAGGAAATGAAGCAGCCAAAGAACTTACATCCATGGACATGAACAATGATGAGGGGACTGCCTGGGGGGAGAGGGTGCTGGGTGGAGGAGGGTAAAGGAGAAAAAAATCGGTACAATTTTAATAGCATAATCAATAAGATATAATTAATAAAAAATTAAATACAACCATTCTCAGTAGAAAGAAACTAGAGAGGAAGCTCTTAAAAAATGAAAGTACCATTCAAAGAACCAAAAACAGCTTAATATTAAAAACATGACAGAAGAAATTAAATAATTCAGTGGAAGGTTTGAAAGATCAAGTGGAAGAAATCCTTCATAATATAAAACAAAACTATAAAGTGTTGAAAAACAGAAAAATGAAAAACAATTTTTCAGGGCCTCCTGTATTAAATAAAGAAAAAAATAAGGAAGAAAGAAAAGCAAGAAAGAGAAAAAAAACAGAACAAAAACACAGAGGGCACATTGTTTTCTAAGAAATATGTCAAGAAAATTTCTCAGAACTGAACATTTCCTGATTAATAAGGTCCACAAGTTATCCAGCATAATAGATTAAAAAATGCCCACATAGACCTACATCACTGAGAAATTCTAGAAAACTGAGAGAAAGAAAAAGTCCATAAGTGTACAGAAAGACTAGACATGTTTCCTATAAAATACCAACTACCAAGATCACATCAGACGTCTCAATGTCAAACCTGGAAGTTAACACGACGTATAATACCTTTAAAGTCTAAGGAAAACATTTTTCAAACTAGAATTTTATACCCAAACTATGAATTAGATATAAGAGTAAAATCATTTTTATCACTGGATACCTAAAAACATTTACCTTCTGGTCATGCTTCTATAGCTCATAACTCTATCAACAAAGAAAAAGGAAATCTGAGATCCAGGACAGAGATGCCAACAAAGAGAGGGATAAAGGGAACTTTCAGGATAACAACAAAAAGAAATTTCAGGATGCTTAGAGTAACCAATCTAGAACAATGGTCAAAAGGCTCCAGAAGAGACTTCCGCAAGATTTCTCATGGAATTCCAATGTGAACACACTTAGAAGAGTGGAGGTGAATTAAGAAGAACAAAAACTGAAAGCAAGCTGTGACTACAAGTTAAATATTCACAATAATGTTAGTGCTAAATTGTGCTATAACTATAACAGAACACTGGGTGGTGTTTGGCCTATGTAATGGAGCATAAGGTGGAAGAGTAAAATCTGCATCTTCCCCGCTGGGAAGTCATTAATAGAGTGTAAAACAGAGAAATTAAGGAGCAGCAATATGAGGATATTACTTAGAAAAATGAAGGCATATACCAAAAGAATCAAGTAAAAGAGCTAAAAGTATAAAAGTAATTTCTTTGGGAGAGCAGGCAACATGAGTAAGGGTAAAAAATTGCAAGGCTATTGGTTTTTTTTTTTTAACAAGCTTTGTAGAATGGCTTCATTTTCCTAAGCAATGTGCAAGTATAATGTTCGTAAAACAAAACCTGTATTTTAAAAAGGTAAAACACTTACCAATACACTTTTCTTGCTTTTTGAATTGAGGTAACCGTTTGGACTTCTTTTAAGGTTTGCTTTGTTTTCTTTTCTGCTGATTTGAATGCCTATTTATTAAAAAGGGGGTTTAAAATAATTTGTTGAGAATTTATTTAAATATCACCAAGCAAACAATAGGGCAAGAAATAGTTTAAATATAAAAAAATGACATTATCTACACATACACCCCCCAACATGAAAGTAAATAGATTTTTGCCTTTAAAATTTTTTTATTTATTAATTTGAGAGAGAGAGAAACACTGACTTGTTTTTCTACTTATTGATGCATTTATCGGATGATTCTTGTATGTGCCCTGACTGGGGGTTCGAACTTACAACCTTGGAGTATTGGGACAACGTTCTAATGAAGCAAGCTACTTAGCCAGGGCAATTTTTGCTTTTAATATTAAAATAACTTAAGTCAAAGACTTACTGTATGCATATATCGTGTCAACCTAGGAATTTAAAAAAGTATCATTCGTTTACAAGAAGCTAAGTACCTATTATAACAGGTTTGGGCTACAAGCATATGGATGAACAGCGAACAAGCCAGAGTAGCAAGTTCCCACCCTAAAGTAGTCTAGGAAAAGAGAAATATAATTAAGAGAGAAACACATAATTATTCAACTAAACATATGGTAAGTACTTCTAGGGATGCCATAACAAGAAATTATAACAAGCGAACCTAATTTATAATTGATTATGACCAAAGAAGGTATTTCTGAAGAAATGGTATATAGACTGAAGTCTGAAGGATTGATGTAATTATCAAGGAAAAGAGTAAAAAAAGAGCACTATAAGCAAAAAGGCCAGCTTAACCAGCAAGTAGTGATCACAGGTAAAATGTCAAGAAATGTCTCATGTAAGTAGACACATGAATGAAGCGAAGGATCAAACTGTGAAAATTTTTAGGGAATAGCATTCTTGGTGGAAAGAAGAGCAAGTGCAAGCCCCGGGAAGGCAGCATGGACCACTGCTGCAGGAAGAGCCAAAATCCCAGTGTAGATGGCAAGAGTGGGTAACAGGAGGAATGCAGATGATGCGATCAGAGGGAGGCAGGTCATTTAGGACCCTAAGAGACCAGGAGAAAGGCTTTGGATTGTCTTGAGTAACATGGAAAGCTACTGAAAGATTCTGAACAGAGAGAAATGACTTTTTTTTTTTAAATTTAAAAGTATCACTATGGCAGATGCATGAAGAACAGACTGCAGCAGGGAACGGGTAGGAGATTAACCATCCCCCGAGTAAGAGGCTATTGTTACAGTCCATGAGTACACTTGATGGAGACCTGGATCAATGAGAAGTGACCAGATTCTGATTATACTCTAAAGAAAGAGCCAGAAGGATTTGCTACTTTTATTTTCTAATTTTACAGACTCTCAAGTCATACAGAACAAGTTTTGTGCATTATGCAACTTTTTTATGTTCTACATGAAAACCAAATTGTAGAATATGCCTAAGATTTTAAAAAGGATTTGCTATTTGAAGTTTCCAGGAGAATTACTATTTTGAGAAATAGTAATTTCTGTACACTTTATTATAATACACACCACAAAAAGTATTTACACCCCAGTGCAATATACGGTTTCTGAGAGAAGAGTCCAGGATGATGCCAACATTTTTCATCTAAGCAAAGGGAAGAATAAAGGTGCTATTTACTGAGATGGCAAAGACTGGAGAGGGGCAGGATTGGGAAGAAAAAGAATACTGGTAATACGTTCAAATCAAAATTAAGTTCAAAAGGCTATTTCTGAATTAGAAAACCTCATTTAAACAGAAGAAATAACTGAGACCATTAAATTAGAGAGAAACAATGAACATTCACTCTAAGAAACACTAAGTACCTTCTCAGCAGCTTCAACAGTCTTTTGTGTTTTCTTGGCAGCGTATCTCTTGTGATCGTAATACCTAAAAAAACACAATTCTCTTAAATTTTAAGTAAAATCTCTATTCTTTAGTTTCCTACTTGTTGTTCTAATTTTACAGACACTCAAATCCTACAGAACAAGTTTTGTGCATTATGCAACTTTGTTTTTTATGTTCCACATGAAAACCAAGTTGAAGAATACACACAAGATTTTAAAAGTATTTGCTATTTGAAGTTTCCGGGAGTAATTCTAAGATATTTCTCAAAGTAGTATACTTTCTTACAATTAATATAATTTTAAGACACACCAAAAAAAAGTATTTTCATCCCTAAGTATAGATAGGCAAAATAAAATTTTTCTTATCATTTAATCCCTGAGTTATTTCAGATATTTTACCTAAAATTTACACTTAAGTTTAAGACTCACTTTTTGGCATTGGCATATGCTGATAAGCTGAGATCAACGTCAACAAGTAATGGCCTATTTTTCTGCGGCTTCTGCAGCTGTTTATTCTTTTGCTTTTTCTTTTTTCCTTTTGGTGGTTCAGCTTCATTTTTCTCAACACTGATGTCACCATCAACATCGTCATCTTCCTCCTCTGATAATAAGTATGGATTTCTATTAAAAATATTCAATAGTATTTCACTAATGTCAATGACATCACATTTTCATTTCCAATATTTTACTAAATGAAATCATAACTGGTTTACAGTATTTAAGTAGTTTGTATTACTTTACTCTGAATTAATTTTTTTCTGTATTGTCGAAGATAAATTTCCAAATAAAACAAAAATTTTAATACAGTGTACAACTAAATAGCAAAATAAAGACAAGCACTAACTGCTTAACTAAAAATTAAACTTACCTTAGCAGCATTGTAACATGATTTGTTTGTAATTTCAATTCTTTGATTGCATTTGCAACAGGGTCTCCTTGAGCTTGGGCTTCTTTCACAATTAACCCGATTTCTGTCCAATCTATCTGGTTGGCTAAAGCACTTCGAACAACCTGAATGGCTCTGTCAACTATTTGTAGATTCATTTCTATGAGCTCTCCTTTAAGTTTATCTATTTCCTTAAGAAATAAACCAAAACATTTACTATCATTCGAGTTATAAGTTGCCATTTTTAAAAAAGCATTTGAAAAATTGAAACATAATACCTGAGCCTGCTGAAGAGCTTCTAATCTGTTTTCGTGATCCTTTCGGAAATTATCTAATTTCTTCAATGCTTGCTTTTCCTTTTATTGACAAAACAGATTTTTGAAAAATTAGGTTTCTCCTATCTACTGCACCTTCTCTTTTATCTCCTGAAACTCATTATCCCGCCCCCATTTTTGCCCCCTCAATGTCATTCCTACCTAGCTAAAGTGCCCCAGAGTCCACCTCCCCAGGTTTATCCTTCCCCAAAGTGTTTCATGCTCCAAAACTAACTCCAGTTTACCTACTTCCCATTCCCTATATTATGGAAAGGTATTTTGGTTAAAGGTTACATGTAAGTAAGATATGCTCCTAAAGCCTTTGCATTATTCAAGTAGGCAGAACTCAAGACCTTTTTTCCCCTAACGCAGAAACGTAAAATTTGGGAGAACGCATTCATAGCATAAATTACTAAAATTGCTTCTTTTCATTTCACTGCTGCCTTTAATTTTCTTAGCATTGTTTCTAGTATTTTACAGAATGTCTCCCAAATTAATAATACAAAGGGTCATAGTAGTTATTTGACCTTTTATATAGCATTTTACCATATGTACTTTATATTTCAAGATTACTGATTTTGGTGCAAATTTTGTAACAGTAGCAACAGCATTACCAATTGATGAATGTTTGAATGCTAGACGTAGTATTAAAAGATTTAAATTATAAGAATGGTGACTATTAAAAGCATGCAAAATGATTACTAAAATAATTTATAGGTATTCTAATGTACATAAAAAACATAGGGTTTAAGTGTCACTGCTAAATATCTATTTATTAGCTCAAGTGCTGCCATCATGTGGTAATCACACTAATTAATTTGACCCATCTGCTTTGAAATTGTGCTTTATTCGTTAATTGTGTTAAGAACGAAGAGGGGTGAGGATACAGGGATTCACATAATTACAAATCCTGTACAACCATTTTAACACTTTACTAGTATTTTTGAAAAATCACATCCCCTTGAAATCAAGAGTGACTGTGGCCAATTTCTGAAACTTTCTCCAGCAAATGTTTCCAAAACATGGTCACACGTGCTGTGCCAGGAAAACACAGCATATTAAAACCTCCTTGTGGAGTCACAATGCAGAAAAAGCACGTATCTTTTTAGACTGATCTTTAAATTTTTCTATCAGTTTACTTCCAACATTATTCTGTATTGATTTCAGGTGTACAGCAGAGTGATTAGACATCACATACTTACTTTACAAAGTGGTGCCACTGATATTTCCATACCCACGTGGCACCGTGCAGTTATTACAGTATTATTGACTGTATTTCCTACGCTGCAATTTACATCCCTGTGACTAATTTGTACTTCATCCCTTCACCTCTCTCACTCAGTCCCCAATCCCCCTCCCCTCTGGCAACCACCAGTCCAGTCTCTACATAAAGCATATTAAAGGCCTAGTTAAAAGTTCACTTAAAAGTTAAATGATAAACGAAAATACTTATTTATATAGAAAAAACTTTTCCCTCTCCTTTGGCCTACTTAAAAATATTCTGGGAACAGGATTCCCTTAGCAGCAAAATTTAAGAAGCTTTGGGATACTATAATAAAGCAAACTGTACTAGGGTCTAAGTAACAGCCCTCACCATCCCACTGTATTCTCCATTTTAGAGACTACCCAATATACTGTAGAAACAAATGAAGGTTATCTTCAACACTGAGACCTCCCCTGGACCTTTATCAGTTGGCCAAGAGACCAGGGCACTCCCATATACTTCTGAAAGGCTGCGCATTCCTATATGAGAGCATCCACCCAGCAAACCACATTAAGGCTAGTTGGTTTAATGTTTTAAATAACATCATACCTGTTGTAAAGCCTTTAAATCTATTTTCTGACCTTCTATCTTAGAATAAAATTCATCCACGGCCTTAATAAAAGAAAACAAAACAATCAAACAAAAAATAACTAGTTGAAAAAATACATGATCTCTATTTCAACTTGCATACACAGAATTTGAGAATTTGTAACACCACTCAACACATCCCCAATAAATGTACTCTATGACTAAATAATCAAGAATCAAATTCAGGTCATACTTTTTAACCTTTATCTTGAAATAAAGTGGCAACAAATGTTTCCAACAGTTTGTATCTATGACTACATTGTCCCATAATGCCCAGATTCAGTGATTGTAAAGCAAAAAGTATTTCCAATTTTTCAATCAAAGCAAGTGGATATCAATTTAATAACTCACATCATGTTAACTGGTCAAAAAACAGTATATAAAACCCACCTTGTCAAATGATTCAAATTCTATATATGGATACTGTGAATGTTGAGAAAACAAGAAAGGATGAAATTCTTCGTACCTGCAAAACATAGTTATTTCATCGCATTCAAGAACATTAATAAACATTAAAAAAAAAAACTGACCCATGCCTACATGCTTACGTGAGTATCTCTTCAGCTGGTTTATCTACTTCCAGGCTTGGTTTTATTTCTCTTTTCTGAATGATATATCCCTATAAAAATCCAACAAAAAACTCATTTCTATCCATAATTAACAAAAACTTATTTTTCACAACAGACATTAATTTATGTAATTTTCTAGTTATAAATTATCAACTGCACTTGCCTACTGATTATATCACTTGTCAAAATGATGCTTTTAGAATAAAAGTACTATTAGAAAGTAATTGGTTTATTCCTATGCACAAGAAAAATAACAGGTAATAAAGAAAATGAAAACTCCCGTACTGATAAAATGGTGGGATTATACACGTACATTCTGATTTCTTTCCATTTTTAGACATCGTGCAATTTTTAAAAGCCAAAAACACTGCCAGCAGAAAAACTCTTAAATTCACTTTGTTGGTAGATTTTAATTAACTTTAAAATCTGGGCAGGTACATTTGGACTGAATTTACCTATAATTAATGAGAACTGCCTCTGAATTTTTTTGGTAAGTAAAGTTATATTTTGAATAGGAAAGAAAACACAGGAGATGAGTTAATTCAGAGGGTGTTTAACTATTACGGGATTTTTTTAAAGTGCTGGCAAATTAAAATGTGCTTCTCTATCTAAAATTAACCTGAGAAAAAATATTTACAAACTCCTCATCTTTTCTGGAATTGACCTAATACCTTCTATAAAAGAGAAAAAGCAAAACAAAAATTACAAACCAATAGCAATTTAAGACAAAAATCTACCCTAGAAGAAGCATATTACAAATGTCGAATTTCCAAACTAAAACAAAAAATTTACATATACTGATGTTTAATGAACATTTAAATTCTAAAAAACTAAACAATAAAAGCAGAATATGCAACAAGTATATGTGCTGCTACCTTCCCACTGAAGTTGGAGGTTGTTTTCATATAGTCTTCTGCCTTCTGCAGACAAACAAGTACTTTTTCAATATCTAAGAGGAGAATAAAAAAGGGAAAAACAGAGTGGCAATCAAGTATCAATTAACTTATTAAACAACTATGCAAAAAACAGGAGGGTGTTTACAAAATAAGTGTTCAAAAAAATGAAATACAGTCATCTTACGTTTGCTATCAGCATTGTAAATACAGGCGCTTTCAACCAGCCTGTTATTTCAATAGCTTTTATTGATCACATCTTGCCCCTCATGATCTGAAAGACACTCTGTTCATATACTAAATTCCCATATATATATATATATATATATATATATACACACACACACACACACACACACACACACACACACTTTGGCCTATTTCTAAATTCATTATTTTCTCTATTCGTTTTCAAAAACTGTTGTAATTACTAATATTTTCATTGTATATTTTAATCTATGGAAAGGTTATTCCCCATCATTACTATTATTTTCCAGTTTTCCTGAACATTTTCACATGCTTTTATTCCACATGAATATCATTTTATTAAAAAAAAAGTAAAACAAAAAACTGATGCAACAGCAAAAACAATACCACCTGTTGGCACTGTGATCAGGATTGTACAAAATTAGTATATTTCAGAAAAGAAGTCATTCACCAAAAATATTCCATTTGTATTTTTAAACACACAAAAAGTTACAGCATAAAAGCTATCCCTGAACCTTAAAAAATAATATATAACTCTCAAAACATAAACATCAAGAATGATTTTTCTAACTGTACAGGAGACTAAAGATAAAGACTTGTGAATGACCAAATATTCCATTTTCCTTACATTTCCTCTAATTTTTTTATTATCCTAATCTGGCAGTTAAGTTAGGTTCCCTTAAATATTACAAAAGCCTAACTTATCATATAACCACACCATAGGACTTACAAAATTAAAATGTTCGAATACTGATTATTTCCAAACCCACTCCAGGTTCTGAGTCAGAAGGTGAATAATTCAACTCCTTCAAGCCTTGTACCAAAGACTGTCTCAAGGCCAGTAACCACTTCAAAAATTTACGGGGAGAGAGGGAGAATATTCTTCAGCTGAAAGGTAATAAGGCAGGTCAAAGGACGGAGCTGCACGTTACTAGGGATAAAAGCGCCACTTCAGAGTACAAAGCCAGTAATACCACGTGGATAGAACACTCACAGGTCTAAACGCTCTTAAGTCTAGAGCTACCTGGTCACTTATTACTTTTCCAAAAGTAAGTCCATAGTTTTAAAAAAGGAAATTAGTGGAAATGAACTCAACTTGTACCATGCAGACCTACCTTTACTTTCAAATTTCTCATCCACTTTGACACCACCAGAGAACCCATTTTCTATAAGACAGTGTTCGATGAGAGCTGGTCCAAAAGCTGTAAAAACAGCATTATTTTTAGTGTTTCCTATGAAATTTAACATTCAAAACATAATACAAATTTATATTCAATATAAATGATCTACTCGATAACAATAGCCAGTGAAAACAACTAGTTCACTTATTCTGAAATGTTATTAGAAATGATACTTCAAGCACTTAACTAAAATTTGAGACTATAATAAAAATGTAGATGTTAGTACAGAAGTTACAGGAATTTAATGAAATTTGGCCACGTATAAAAAAGATTATAAACTAGGAATGCAAGGCTGGTTTAGCATCCAAAAGCTGGTTACTGTTGTATACAATGTTACTGAAGAGAAAACAGAAGAATACAAACTTACAAATTTTATGTATGCTATGAACTTTTAAGTTGGGAAGTTCTAAAGGTAACTCTTCAGTGCATTCTAATCTCAGGGGAGAGAAATAACTTTCTAATGCTCGGTAATTAAGGGTACCAGCCTGCTCACACGTTCTTTTCAGATTCCTTATTATCGGGCTAGGTAATGATTTTCTCAAGCATAAAAGTTTATTGAATTTTATTTACCCTGGTTATTAAGGGTACCTGACATCCTGGAATGCCCTGAGATTCACTAATAAGAAGAAAAAAAATAAGTGTTTATTAAACCGAAGATTCATGTTGGGGGGGGAGAAAACTCAGAACACTACAGCTATCCCTAAAGTGCTAAATAGCATACTATTAGTTAACACAACTACTATTTTTAAATAAAATCTAACCGGTAAAGGTCAAAATTCATATGATATGACAAATTTTCCATAAAAATAAACTATTTACCTAAATGATCATTTTAAACTCCTTTCTACAGTTATCAATAAGTCCTAATTTTCCACTAGAACTATAAAAGATTTAAACATATTCCTGAAAACTATACTATCTTGCCAACACTTCATTGTTCTGTGCGGTATTACTCACGAAGCAGTGGGTTAAGAACTCTCCTCAGTAGTTCACCCTTAGGTGCACTGGTTATTATTTCAGTCAGTCTGTAAAACAAAATTGACATACCTCTTTTAATGAATATTTAATTTAATTTTAATTTAATATTTAATGAATCTCATGGCAGTATTTATATTCATAATACTTTCATACATATCAATTTGCCTGATCTTTAACTATTCTAAAATAAAAGAGAAATTAATTCATTTTGTAGGTAAAAAAAATGGAAAGTCATGCCCTGGCTGGTGTGGCTCAGTGAACTGAGTGTGGGCTGTAAACCAAAGGGTCGCTGGTTCGATTCCCAGTCAGGGCACATGCCTGGGTTGTGGGCCAGGTCCCCAGTAGGGGGCATGTGAGAGGCAACCACACAGGTCCCTCTCTTTCTCCTTCCCTTCCCCTCTCTCTAAAAATAAATAAATAAAATCTTTAAAGAAAATGCAGGGTCATAAAATTAATTTACTGAAGTTAGTAATCTTAAAACAGCACACTGAAACCTAAAACCAGGTTTCCTAACGAAAATCAATACTCTTTCAACTAAGTCATATTGCTCATCATCAACTGCCATGCGTAATATGAGAGCAACATTTTTACATAACAGTTAAATGTTGTTTGTGAAGCCTGGAGATACATCTTAATACCTGAACTGGCTTTATCTAGTCATGGTTTTAATACTTAAATACTGAGTTCTTCAGAATGCCAAGGGCCTTTGTAGGCCCCAGATCAACAGCACCAAAAACACCTATGAACTTGTTAGACCTGTAAATTCCTGGGCCCTACACTAGAGCTGATTTAGAAATCTGTTTGATCAAGCCCTCCAGGTGATGCCAATGAATGCCAAACTCCGAGAACCACCGCTATAGCCTATTCGTCAGCAAAGCCTTTGGCCAGAAGAGTAGATACAATTTGTACCACATCCTCCCCTGCTCCCTCCCTCTCCTTAGCTAAACCAGACTTTCTCTTTTTGTACTCTGCCCAAGCTATCCACATGTCTTCTCGCAGAAGAACTGGTAAGTCCTCTCACTTCACCAAGAAATCATACACATCTAAAATAACACCAAATTTAGATGAAAAAGACATACATTTGCTACTCCCATTGCTTACGTGCACATTTATGTACTTCAAATTTATTTATCTAAGTAAACAAAGTATTTTCTATGATAGTTCTTTCACATGTGATCTACTTAACCTTTTAAAATAGTAAGAAATGAGTTTATAAACAAAACATGGTACCTTTCCAAGGTAGGCAAAGGTGCAACAGCTTTTGCATGGTCAACTGGGTAGTGTTCACGAACAGCAAACTTAACATCATCTGACTCGTCAGTTCGAAATCTTAGGATATTTAAAATTAGATACTCATAATCTGTAAGGACAATGTTCCCCTGTAAAAGAATAAAGTAATTAAATGCTTTCCCCAAATCATTCTTGAAACTTAAAAATTAAGAAAAATGTAGGCTCTTAAAAAACCTCATCAAGGTTATAGAAATGAGGTTACAGAGAGCATCTGACTTTGATGACCACCACCTGAACTTAATGCTGCACTTCCATGAGGCAAGTCTCAACCCTGTGTCTTATTAAGAAAAAGATAACAGATATGCTTGTATGTTTCAGAGGCCGAACAATATCGGAGACATTGCTGATTCCAACCCAGACCACTACAGTGAAGTAGCACAATAAAGTGAATTACAGTCTGTTTGCTGATGGAAGGTCTTACTTTCAAGGTACAAAAAACATAACATTTATGAAGCACAATAAAGCAAAGTGGAATAAATCGAGGTGCAATAAAATGAGGTATGCTGTATACCTTTACCTGCACTGTGTCTTTTAACAGCAGTAGTTATGTGGCAAAAATCATAAAGACGTGGTACCCTTCAGCCGAGTAACTCCACACTGGGTAACGTAGCCTGATATAGTAACTCAGTAAACCCAAAAACTCTATGCTTAAAGATATTTCTATTTACAATAGGAAAAAAAGGAAACAGCCAAAATGTAAAATTGAGAAAACTGTTAAATTATGATATACAACAGAACATACTTAAAAGCTGTTAACTTATGAAGACTATGTTAAAAAAAAGCAGAAAATTGTTTATGATGTTAGGTAAAAAATAGCAAGGCAAAAAATTTCTTAGAAAGTGGAAGACAAATATAGAAAAAATAAAAATATTTATTAAACAGACAGGAAAAGACTTTTTAAAATTTAATAGTTACATAATCTTTTCAAGAAAAAAGGGGGGGAAATCTAATGAAAATAACACTGCACAAAGAATACAACCTTTCACATTTATTGCAGTGAAAATAGGTGTTAGTATACAACTAAAAGCATCCATGAAAACAGTCACAAATGCCGCAGCAGCTACTTAGAAGTTGGTCATAGAAGATGACAAATGTAGCCCAATCTTAGGAATTCTAGGATGCAGATACATGGCGTCAGTAGATGGGGACACCATTCATCTTCAGATAATCACAAGTTACTAGGTGTTGAAAGGTGCCAAAGGATCTGACTTCAAAGCAACCATGCATTTATTTAACTTAAAAAAAGTTAACTGGAGAAGGAAAGCAGAGGGATGGGATGGAAGTCCATACAGTGTCTCGTTCAGGAAGATGGGACCTGAAAAACACCTGGCCACAGAGGCTGGCACACAGACTACACTCCATCACCATTTACTGAATCAAACTGTGCAGTTATCCACAGCATCTGGAAGATTCCAGTAAGGCAGTTACTTCCCTGATAGGGCTTTCCTGAAACAAAGATTGCCCCAAAGTATTCTGTAAGTGGCTCCCCTTACTCGCATTTATTAAAAAAAAGAAAAGAAAAAGAGAATAAGGAATTCTGCACTGATTAAGTCCCAGAGTTAAATTTTTACCTTATTATCAAAGTTCCACAAACTTTTATGACCAAGGGACTCATTTTTCTAGGCACACCTTTATGGAAGTGGTGTCCAAGGAGCGTATTTTGGGAAATACTGTGCTTGACTCTGATGTACACAATAAAATACTTTCTGACCTTAACTTTTTCTCCAGAGTCTTTCCTACTGGAACCTTCCTATTACAAATTAATAAACTGCCTTTCTTAAATGAGCTTGAGTAACAACAGCCTGTTTACCCAAGGCCTGGTCAAATCTAGATAAACCATACATCAAAATTCCAGACCTGAAAGCTAGAAGACCAAATCCTGGTATAGACAGAGGAAAGAGCAATCGTCAAGATCTACTCTAGAGATCAACCAACCGACCTCTCTTGATATCACAGTGAATACTGAAAATTCTCAAGCACATACACTTATATATAAATCCATAATGTTTATTCCAAACACATCACTAACTGGATCCCATCACTAAATGTAGGCACGCCAGTTGCTCAGAGTCTTCAAAATATAAAGAGCCTAAATGCAATGGGCTATACTGGATTTGATTCTGGAACAGAAAAAGGATATAAGTAGAAAAACTGGTGAAGTCCAAATAAAGTCTATAGTATAATTAACAGTAATGTACCAACGTTAATTTCTTAGTTTTCACAAAGGTACCATGGTTATGTAAGATGTTAACACTAAGAAAAACTGTGAAGAGTACATAGGAACTTTCTGTATTATCTTTGCAACTTTTCTATAAATCTAAAATTATTACAAAATAACAAGGTACTTGAGATTTTTTAAATAATAAAGATTACACAAATTCATTCATGCTATGGAAAGAATTTTTAGATACCATTAAGTGCTAAGTTTAAAATGAAAATGGAAACCCTCCCCAGAAAGGCCCATGCCTGATATGTAAGCCCAAATTTAGAATGCAAGCAGAGTAGTCCCCCCTTATCTGTAGAAGTTCCACGACCTACAGAGGACGCCTGAAACTTTGCATAGTACTGTACCTTACTTACGTATACTATTTCTGTGCCTCTTCACTTAAAGGAAGATCTTTTAAGACTTCCTTTGGCATATTTGAATGGTCGGCAACAGTACTGTTGTGCTTTGGAGCCATTATTAAGTAACGTAAGCTTTTGGAACACAAGCACTACAATACGGGACAGTCAACATGATAACAGATGGCTACATATACATAGAGCACTGATACTTGGGACAAAGGAACGACTCACACTGGGAGGGAGGAGATGACGGAGTGGGACAGCACTTGAGATTTCATCATGACACTCAGAATGATGTGCAGTTTAAAACTTATGAGTTATCTCTGGAATTTCCCATTTCATATTTTCAGACCATGGTTGACCATGGGTAACAGAAACCAAGGAATGCAAAACTGTAGGGGAAACTACTGTATTGACCTACAAACCTAAGGCATGCATGCAATTAGTTAAATTCAAGAGATTTTAACCTCCAAATGAAAATTTTTTCTTTTCTTTTATGGGGGGGGCAGGGAAAGGGATCATAAATAGGGCACTAAACCCATTACATTAGTAAGAGGAATTGGTTTGAGCTAGGAGTAGTAACAGCTTCAATTTTAATTCTATGTAATTCTCTACATACTGAGAATATATTCATGTAGTACTCGTATAAGCACTATTTAATTTAAATGGTAGTCTACATATTCCCAACCACTATCTTACTGAAAAGTAGAAAAACTGAATGAAATACACAAACCATGCCCTTTAAAAAATAAAATACATACAAACTAAGCAGTAAACGTTTACAGGACTAAAATCTAAAACAGAACTCAGGAAAGTGAGCGGGGCTACTTTTCCCCTAGGATCAGTTGTGTAATAAAAAGCAATGGACAGGCTGGGGAGCAGAGCACAAATTCTGACAGACTCACAGAACTACTAAGGGGAATAAAAATTGGAGATCCAAGGTGAAAAGTCCTGGGGTGGGGGGAGAGATATCCCTGCTAGTCCAGCTATGAATGGTGACCCTGAAAGTATGCATCCCAGAGGACGGGGTGAACTGGAGATACACCAGCTTTCTCAGAATCAAGTTCTAATCAATTCAATGCCTGATTTTAGTAAGGTAATCTGGGATTACTTGAACCCTTAGCTGTCAACAGCAAACCATAGTCTCTTTAAAGGAAGACAGCATCATCACAGGTCTCACAACATATATATTATTTTTCCTCCTTCACTGCTTGCACACAATAAAATAACCAGAAATGCCAAGAAACAAGAAAATGTACTTTAAGTCAAAGGGAACAGCAGGCAATAGAACGATGGTTACCAAAGGGAAAAGAGAGTAGGGGAGGGCACAGTGGGTAAAGGGAATCAAATACAGGGTCCGGCAGCAGTAAGGTTTGCTTGAGTGTGGTTGGTAGGGTATGTGAATGTCATGCACAGATGGCCAGGAATTTGAACATTTCACCTAGAATGTCATATGTTGTGCTTGAGTGTGACATTACATGCTTATGATTTTGTAATAAAAGATCCTGTAGTAAAAAAAGGGAGTGCTCTTTGTGCCAGACCCTGTATATGGTAATGGAAGACAACTGGACATCGGATGGGAAGCATGCAGTAAAGTACGCAGATGCTGAATTATAATCTTGTACCTGTGAAAACTGTAATATTAACCAGTGATACCCTGATGAATTCAAAAAAACAAGACACGTGGAGGTATCGGATCACAAAGCATTTATAAATGATCCCAAAATTCTTGTCTGACAGCAATAAATTAATAAATTGAAAGAAAGGTCTAAAGAAAATATGGATGAATTTCCCAAAACTGATGAAAAATACCAACTCACAGATTCTACAAGCACCAGGAACCCAAGTAGGACAGTTACAAGGAAAACCTCAATTAGGCACATCGTAGCAAAGACAAATAGAAACCAAAGAAAAATAGAAAAAAAAAACCAAAGACAAATAGAAAAAAAAATTTAAACCATCCAGATAAAAAAGGGCAGATAATGTCCAAAATAACCACCTGACACTAATTGCAATAGAAATAATGGCCACTAGAAGGTAGTATACTATTTTCCTAACTGTCAAAAATTTATTTATCAACTCAGTGAGAGGACCAAGTAGATGGCAACCTGTTCTAAGAGAAACGAAGTAAAGTACTTAAGAGTGGCTGAGAGAAGAATGATCGTATAAGACGGTCAATTTTGGTAAAACTGTACCCTGTGGCTGTATCTTTTTCTCTGGACAGACAGAATGTGAGTCTCTACTGAATAAAATTTTCATTGCCACTAGGCATGAATTACTGCACTGCTATCAGTTTTCTACATGTGAAAGACTACCCTTATTGAGTTGTAAAGAAACCTTATCAACAGTAAATAGCAAATCGAACACACATCCCTAGAGAAAACAATCATCCCCAGGAATGCCCACTAGACAACAGGTGGCAGTACACTACAAGGGCCTTCAGTCCTTTTCATCTTTTCCAATTCTGGATAATTTTTACCATCCCCTCTCGTAATCATCATATCTAAAATTATTCTTGATTAAACATACATACACACAGCTACTTCCACTGTTTTTTGTCCTGATTTATTTACATAAAGGGAGCAAGAAATGTTCGCTGACACACACGAACTTCCCTGTACTACAGTCGGCAAATGTGGAGCCGTATGGCACTAAGCAGTTAGTAAAGCCGTAATAAGCACCAATGCCTGGAGATTTCTAGAAATTTGGGGTTTTATTTTCAAGAGTCTCTATTATTCCAGAGATTTAAAAGTTATTTACTCTCACTCTGGCTGGTATAGTTCAGTGGACTGAGCGTGGGCCTGTGAACCAAACCACCACGATTCGATTCCCAGTCAGGGCACGTGCCTGGGTTGCAGGCCAGTTCCCAGCAGGGACGCACAGGAGGCAACCATATACTGATGTTTCTCTCCCTCTCTCTTTCCCTTCCCCCCTAAATATAAATAAATAAAATCTGAAAAAAATTACTTACTCTCAAAGTTGTGAAGCCAAACCAAAAAATATTATCAGTACCAGTTTTGTCTGTGGCAAATGTAGCTTTAGGGTAGGTAATTCCTAAAATGTAGGTAAATTCCTATACTTGTAAGTACTCAATCTGTAGGAAGTGACCTTATGACCTGCAGACTAGGATCCTATATGCCACAGAATAGGTACAAGACCAGGTTTTCAGGAAGACTTTGTGGTCAACAGTTCTACATATAAACTATAACCTTTGCTGTTTAATGATGAGCTCATCACACTGAATTAAGTATGATTTATTCTCCACCATGACACTGTACATATGACCTTGGCTGCACAATGTGCCTAACTATAACCTGGTTAAAAAGACAAATTCTTTTTTTTTTTAAGTAGAACTTTTTCTGTTTTAGTATTTTTTAATTTTCATTTATTTGTTTTTTACAGAGAGAAGAAAGGAGGAAGAAAAAGAGAGAGAGAAACATCGATGTGCAAGAAAAACATGGATCAGTTGCAACCCAGGCATGTGCCCTGGACAGGAATGGAACCAGTGACCTTTGGTTCACAGACTGACACCCAATCCATTGAGCCACGTCAGCCAGGGCAAAAGGGCAATTCTTATCAAGCCTATGTAAAAACACCTATTGCCATTAGCAGTAAAACAAAACAACTCAGTAAAAGGCATTTGTTCCTAAATTCTAAGAGAACAATGATAGCAAACTACCATTTAAAAAATGTCACTTAAATTTGTAGAAGTGTAGCCTACTGAAGGTCAGAGAAAGGTAAAGGACTTTATCATATAGTCATCATAAAAATAATACCAACAATATTCTGAAAAAATATGCACAATAAGATTCTTTCCAGTTTATTCAGTTCTGGGTAATTAAATGCACATTCTCAGATCATAGGTTAGCACTCTATTTTCATGAAAGCATCCACTACCAGACTAAAGAGTCTTATAAATCCTAGCTCAGTACCGATAGTCTGGCATCTGTCTAAGCAGTATCAGCTCAAATAATACGAGTCTACTGAGCAGGGGTCAGCAAATTTTTTTCTGTAGAGGGTAAGATATTAAATTATTTTAGGGTTTGCGGGACACATATGGTCTCTGCCACATTTTAAGAGTGCCCCTGTGAAATGTAAAAACCATTAAGCTCACAGGCTTTACAGATAGGGGCCACAAGCTGTAGTTTATTGATTCCTCTTTCAGAGTGCCTGGTATCTCCTTCCCAGTGAGGTTCTGACACTGCCTCCTTTGTTGAAAATTAATTTATAATGACAAATGCAGCAGATTAGTAGCTGCCAGGAAGAAGGGCAGGTGGGAAGAGGGGTGGGTGTTACCGGGGTATCACAAAGAAAATCTTGGTGGTAATGGAAGAATTCTGTATCTTCAATGCAGAGGTGGTTACATGAGTGAAGAGAGGTGGCAAAATGCACAGCACCCTATGCATACACTGTGCCAAGAGCAATTTCCTGACTTTGGTATTAGACTACAATTATGTAAGATGTAACAATTGAGAGAAACTGAGTTAGGCTATACTAGACTTCTACATATGCAACTTCCTATGAGTCTTAGTTATTTCAAAAGTAAATTTTTATTAAAAAAACTTAAAAACAAGTATAAAGGACACGTGGACAAAAACTAAGGGGGGTGGACATTGGAGGGAGGTGGGGAGCACTGAGGATGGGGGTGGGCTGGGATGGGAGTAAAAGACAGGAAACAGTACTTGAGCAACAAGTACAGTTTTATTTATTTAAAATAAATAAAAATTTTTAAAAATCTTAAAAGAGGATAATGATACAAATTTTAAAATGCATCACCTTTTAAAAGCACATACAGAAACAAGTCCAGATGGGCAGCAGCTGTAGCAGCCACTGCCTGCAGGGGAAGGGGGTAGGAAGATGGTGAAAGGAATCAGTGGCCAAGAGAAGTGTGTAAACTGTGTAAACAGAGCCCTCAGGAGCCTTCCTCTTAGGACTGACGACACTATGAAAACACGGAAACACCTCTGAGTCTCAACTGCTCTCTTATCTGACTCAACTATCTGATTTTTCTGGTTGCACCACACTAGTCCTAAAATGTGAAAAACAGAGAATGTCTTCAATTCTCAGATCTTCATCTCCTACATTCATAATGCCATTTTAAATGGCCAAGGTATGCCTAAATTCTGATCTTTAGACAAAATGAAGGTTATTAACTGAAAAGTTACATTTTACTTGCTTGGCATTTATTATCCTAATGTATCAATACTAGCCTTTGATACAGAAAAAAGTTTTCCATCCACGTTTTAAGGCACCGTTGGGAACCGCTCTGCCTGGTTTCAGGAGTTGTAACTGCCCCCCCATAGCTAAAGCTGAGTGAGCGACCTCCAGACTGTGAGCCACTAGGGAGACAAAGCTTCTCTCTGGCAGCAACACTGCTTCTGCTTCATGCATCTCTGCCCCCAACACTTGGTCGGTTAGTCAGAGACAGGTAAGACCCCTCAGAGGGGGGGCAACCTAAGCCAGACATGATTACTTGGGAGGCCCTCAAAAAAAGTACTCAAGGGGCTGCAGCAAAGAGGGGGTGATGGATCCTCGCTCCCTGGCTATTCTGACATAGCCTGAGTCCCCATTTCCATCTGGAAGAAGCGCTTCCTGGCTGTAGTCCACTTAAGCCTAAAAACCTATGACTGGGAAAGCGGTGCAGCCCTTTGCCGGCTAGAGCAGGTTCCAGGGTGATCGGACATAAGAAAGAGTTCCTAAAGTCCTGTGAAGCCTACTTTGCTAAGAGTGCTTTCGTTCATATGATAAGGGTCCAAGCAGGAAATGAGCATGTCTCCCAAAGTTTTTGCAACACCCTTACCTGACAGACACCGACTCAGACTAAGCCCTCGGATTTCTTTAAAATGTTACCTGTTGTTTGATCTTTGCCGCCTGACATTGACTGATGAGCTTTACCTGTTTATCTTATGTGTTCCGAACCAAATAAAGCCGTTGAAGAAGAGGTACTTGGTCCTTCTCCTCTGAGAGACTGACCACCTTTCCTCTCCAAGCAGATCATGTCTTGGCAGTTTTATTTTCATCCGTGGCAGATGGGGAGACTTGTGGGCAAAGTTGCCCCCACAAGGCACTATTACATGAGTAACAATATGACGATAACTTCTCCTTCACCCCATCCCCCAGATTTAACTTACCCTATCATACAGCTCAATGATTAAGTGATAAGCAGCTTCATCACTTCCGAATTGAAAATCTACAATTCTATCCACACCAAGCTGTTTTGCACTGACTAATCTCCGACTCTTCAAATGTTTTCGGCACTAGCAAGAAACAGAAGAAAAATGCATTTATATAGTAAAAGTAAGTTTCTAACCATTGGGTATTGGTTTATAAATAAGTTTTTCTTTCATTATCATAAGGAATAATAATGTAAAAGTAGCAAATAAAACAGTATAAAATAAAAGCTTTCAGATAATCAGAGGAAAGAACATTTTGGTTCAGACAACTCTGACTGCTAACTCTGAAACAGTTTTTTATTGGGCTGGCCAAAAGTCTGTTATATTTTTTTCCATACTATGGCTCTGGTAGTGCTTTAATTCATTTGAAACAATTTTGTTAGAGATTGTATCGTGACAGCTATCATAGCATGTATTTTAAGAAAACATCAAAATTAGTGAATTTTTTGTGCAGCCATTTCAATACTGAAGATGGAAGAATACGTAGCACTTTCAGCATATTATGCTTTCTTATTTCAAGAAAGGTAAAAATGCAACTGAAACCCAAAAAAAGATTTGTGCAGTGTACAGAGAAGGCGCTGTGACTGTCAAATATGTCAAAAGCAGTCTGTGACCTTTCTTGGTACCATTGACATTTTGGCCAAATAATTCTTTGTTCTGGGGCTGTCTGATGCATTGGAAGATGTTTATTTAGCAGCAACGCAACCTCTACCCACTATAAGCCAATAGTGGAAGATAGCCGACATACTCAAAATATCCAAATCAATAAAGTTACTGGTGAAAATTAAAAATGTCTTTATTTTACAGAAAAAAGTAAACACACTTTTTGGCCAACTCAACATTCAGTTTTTAAGTAGACAACGATAGACCCATTGTGAAATTTACTTTGTTGCTCTATACCACCAACTCCCTTGTTCTCACTCTGATGCTCCCTCTTAAAGCCGTACCTTATTTGTCTCTTTCTATTTCAATCTTTTAAATATCCCAAATTTCCATTTATGTAACTGTGCTCAAAATTAATTAATAGTTTCCACTAATCTTCCACTTCCAATACAAATTGTGAACCATGAGCGTTTAGGTATTTTGTAAATTAGTCCTCCAGCTTACTCACACCCAATCACCACCCCCTGTTGCCACACACTTTATTGACATAACCCAAACAGATTTTTTCTGGTACTATCTCCAAATTTTTGATCGACCTAGCTCAAATCCTAATGTAATGACTCCAATTCATTATCAAATATCATTCTTCATATGCCTAGTCATAAGGCTCTTGGTTTTTTTTTAGCAATCAAAATAAAATTAGCATGTTAAGCCTGAATACAAATTACTTGGTAAATACCTTTTGTTCTATATTACTTGTGCCATCCTTTAGTACAAATATTTAAGTATGACATGGAATAGAAACAAGACTACTCTGTAGCCCCTAAAAAAAAATCTTACAATTGTTTCTAATTTCTGAATTTTAAAGATCCTTCAGTTAGTCAAGACCCGTAAGAAAAAAAATGCTTTCTTTTCTTCAAGACTCAAGTTCAACACAAATTTTAGAGGTTAATCTGAAACCACCCTTAAAAAATATAGTCATTCTTAGAATTAATGGCAACTCCTTCATAACTAAGTTATTCTTCAAACTTCGTAGTTCAAATTAAATAAAATTTTCATTTTATTTACTTATACACTCAGCTAGCTATAAAAATACTTTTCAAACTTCATAGAACCTCCCCTTCCAAAATTCAACAGTTCTGACTTTAGAGTAACTTATATTTATTTTGATTTAAACAATGACCTATAAACAGGACTATCTCTAAATCCCCAGGAGAAAAATCATGATTAAGCCTTCCAGAGTCCCCCAGTAATCTTTTTATTTAAGAAATATAGCCCTGGCTGGTGTAGCTCAGTGGATTGAGCACAGGCCTGCAAACCAGAGGATCAAGGTTCGATTCCGAGTCAGGGCATATTCCTGGGTTGCAAACCGGTTCCCTGCAGGCCAGTTCCCAGCGGGGGATGCACGAAAGGCAACCGTACATTGATGTTTCTCTCCCTCTCTCCTTCCCTTCCCCTCTAAAGATAAATAAATAAATAAAAATCTTTAAAAATAAAAAAAAATTTTTTTTAAATAAAAAAGAAATGTAGAATTAGGCCCTGGTTGGTGTGGCTCAGTAGGCTGAGTGCTGGCCTGCAAACCAAAGGGTCGCTGGTTTGATTCCCAGTCAGGGCACATGCCTGAGCTGCAGGCCAGGTCCCCAGTAGGGGGCATGAAAGAGGCAACGATACATTGATGTTTCTCTCCCTCAGTCTCCTCCTTTCCCCTCTACCTAAAAAATAAACAAAATCTTTTTTTAAAAAAAGAAAGAAATACAGAATTAAAATGAACATAAAGGGCATCCCTGAGAGGAACAGAAGTCTTCACCAGGGAATGGTGAAAAATGGAAGGTTATCACAAGTGCACGGACATATAGTACATACGTAAATCTTGTGGGGGTTTTTGTTTGTTTCTCTTTAGCAGCTTAGTGCAAACCTTCCACCCACTGAACTATAGGTGGCATCCGCTAATGTGAGAACTAGGAACTCTGATTTACCACATACTGTTCATGGCCATGCCTGTACTATACAGCTCTTTAAGTTGTTTTTAAAGTGCTTAACAATGACTGCTCCATGAGAGGGAATCTTTCTATACATTTAGACTGATACGTACACCTAACTCATAAAATTCTAGGTTTTTAAATAAGTATTTGACCTCCCACTGCTACTATAGACTAATTTGGGGCTGTTTACGCTATCCCAGTATCATATATCCTATTGCTTATTACATCATTTGTAAAACTAAAATGATAATATTTGTTCTTCATATCCACTGAGTTGTTAACTTAAATATGCATTACCCATCTACTTTGAAAAGTGCTATACATATATAAAGTGTCATTACTATAAAGGAAACCTCCAAAAGAACCATTTGGAGTTACCATTAAATAAGCTTTTAAGAATCTGATAGTTTTATGACAGCCCTTGTGATTTGGGAAGCACTTACCTAACTTGCAATCCAAAACAGATTCTAAGTTGCTGGGGATAAGGCTCTTCTCTGTAAAGCCTCTAATGAAATAACACAATGCCAAAACAAATAAATTTCTGAAGGAAAGTGAGGAGGAGAGGAAGAAGGAAATTAATATATATGGATTCCTAATACGTGTCAGGCATTGTGTTAGATGCTTTACATGGTACTTCAATTAATCCTTACCAATAACCCCATGAGGGAAATATTACGCACATTTTACATTTAAACAAGCTAAGTTCCATGAGGTTAAATAGCTTCTCCAAATTATAAAGTGAGTGGCAAGACCATCAATGAAAAGTTAGGCATATCTGACTGAACCCTCCTTCCTCTGTGGCACATGAACTTTTTAGTGTACCTGTTTCGTCAAAAAGTGACTGAGTAACGTGCCCACAAGTGCAGAATCTGTTTTTACAATTAAAAAAAAAAAAAGCAAGAAGAGAAGTAAAAAGATATAAAAACTGCTAACATGCTGATGTCACTGCGTATTCCCAAAAATACAGACTGGGTGCACAAAAGTGAGCTGTGGAAAATAGGATAAGGAAAAGGGGCAGGGTGGGCGAGGCAGGCGAGAGCCAGATCATAGAAAGCCAAGAACTCTAGGGTATGGGATACTGAAAAGACAGGGCATCATGAAACATGAGCTAAATAATGAAACTGATGCTTTAGAAAAAATTATCGTTGGTCCAGTAACAACTGTTTCCATACGTAAAGCAGATTACAGTTAATGGACTACAGGTAAATGGTATAAAAGCTTGAACTAGAATACTGACTGTGGGAAACACAACTGGGTTCAAAGGGTAATAAGGAGAAGTTAACAAACATCTACTTTATTCATTCCAGTATTCACCAACTACTCTATCTTATCTCACTTTATTAATAACAGTAAAGGAAAACCAAGTAGTTTGAAATTTCATTGTCAGTGACCAGTCTCAGGGCCTAAAATGTACTTTCAAGTATAAGTTAAAATTTACCTTCATGGCAAAACTGGACGGCATCATATTCTTAGGCCATTCAAATTCTGTTGTGTGAATTCGTATGCCAGATTCAAGTAAAAGTGTGGCTTTAAAGTCTGGTCTGCAGAAGAAAAAAAGTTATTTTTTTCTTTAGAGTCTTGCCAACGCTAACTCGGACTGAAAAGTGTAGGTAAAAAAATAGTAACAATCTCGTTTAATTACCAAAGATAAAAGAAGCCTTACTTTTGAAGACGAATGAGATATGTCTTATTATCCACATCATAAACATTGTTTACTCTCATTCCTAGCAAGCTGCAAAGAGAAAGGAAACATGTAACAAATCGTACCATTTGAAACAAAACACAATTTAAAGCTGCAGGGGGGATCAGAATCTGTGAAATGGGAACTTCGGGGATCTACGACTGTAAAGATATGGAGTCTACCAAGGAGCAGAATCCAAAGGACATCAAGCACTCAGTCCAAAATTTAACTATTTAAGAACAATGTTGTCCATTAGCCCTGGGAACACCATAAAATGCCTTGCGTCTTTGAAATAACCTTTTCTTTTCTTTTTTTTTTTTAAGGAAGACAGTCTAATCCACTTTACTCCAACAGGAAAGAAAAAGGTAAACAAGGGCCTAGCAAACATGACAAGGCTCACACAGCTAGGTAATAAAAAACCCAGGCCAGAATCCAGACCTGTCACCTCCCTCTGTCTGGGACGAAGAGTGTCAAAGAAAGGAGGCCTCCAGTCTGGACACCTCTGGAGCAAATGACTACTCGGGCGTCCTGACGCCCTGGCGTCCACCCGGCGTCTCACTTCTACTAAACATTAGCTACCAGACCCAGGCGACTCGGGCCTGCAAAGCCAGAGCCCCGCCAGAGCTCCGCCAGAGCCGGCACGAGACCCGGCGAGACTAGCAGTCCGCGACAGGGGGCGCCGCGCCTCACGCGGCCGCCCGGACCCGCACCCCGCGCCCCAGGAATCCTGCGGGCCAAGGAAAGATACAAACGCGTCGGTCAACCCAGGCCTAGCCAGGTCCGCAGAGACTAGCCCGGGGGAAATAAGGGGTAACAATCCGGATGGTCTTGAATTTAACCGTCGGGCCTGGGCCTCTATCTCCTGCACTTCCCGCATGAGTCAGGTCGTCTGTTGCACATTACCTGGCATTCAACTCCGCGAGTACCGCTCGGAGATCAATAGTGCTAAAGCGGGTCTTCATGTCGAGGTTTGGGGGTCGCTACCGCACTTTTCACCACTGCCGGACTCGGCGCCTCTACTCTTCTACGCAGGCGCACAAGGCGGAGAAGTACGGCCGCGCGAAAGACCCAATATTCCTAAAGCGAACGTGTTTCTGTCACTTTCCAGAAGAATTTATTAATCGAGTGGCTTTCAACTTGCTTTTTGTTGTCCCAGAACAACTTAAAATAGATCCAAATTATTCTACTAAAACTACATTCCTTCCTGGAAAACTTAAGGATTAATTCGTTTACTTTGCCCCCTTGTGTTTCAGGACTCAAACCAGACTCCATAGTGACTCCTGCTGGTCGTAACAGTTTATGAGAGACAATATGGAAGATTTCCCCAGATGGGCCCTAAGGTTCTGTGTATAAGAGCAATAGTTCCTTTCCATTCGGTTACTTGGACGGCCCCAAATGTAAAAATGTTTTATTTTATTCGCCCTATAATTACTGGAATGAATGGCGGAGACCCATCAAAACATAAAAGATATAACGAATAGATAGATGTGAATGCATAAAACTTTAAAGTCTCTGCATGTCAAAAATATTCCATTATTACCATGATTAAAAGCTTAAAAAGATACAGTCAACTTCATGAGATACTGAACTTTTTTTTCGTGAAAGTTGTAGGAAATTATAAAGTATAACCAAGTATTGAGTGGGTGGTTGAAATAGGTGTTTTTCAATGATACTGAGTAAATGCCCAAAAGTGCATTTGTAACAATGGCTTTCTGAAAATAATGCTTTAACCTAAGAGAGCTTTTGTTATTACAGATTTCAGGCATTCAAGCAGGCAAAACAAATACGTATGGCAGGGCATCACAAAACACCTAACTCACACTTTACATGGCTCATTTTAGAATAGTTGTTGCTCTCTCTCCACAACAGACTGGAAGCTATACAAATGCAATGATTTGTCTATATTATTTCTGCTTATTTAGTATCAACATAGGATATGATAAATATTTTGCACTTAAGTATTTTTAAATGTATAGATGACCAGACGAATGGATAGATGAATAAATAAATTATTAAAGCCCTGGCTGGTGGAGCTCAGTGGATTGAGCGTGGGCCTGCGAACCAGGCAATCTCGGTTCGATTCTCAGTCAGGGCACATGCCTGGATTGCAGGCCAGTTTCCAGCAGGGAACGCAGGAGAGGCAATCCTGCGAGAGGGATATTTCTCTCCCTTTCTCCTTCCCTTCCCCTCTAAAGATAAATAAATTAAATTAAAAAATAAAAATAAAAAAATTGTTAAAATATTATGAGTTAAAGAAAGATACACACTCACACTCTACAATGGGAGAGTGACCCTAAAAACTTGTACAATATGAAAAGTTTTTTAAAAAGTACAAGCATGTTAAAGAAGACAGTTTCTGGCCTCACCAAGTTCTTTCAGGTATAGACTAACCTTGATGCTTCCTGTATATTTGTTTTCTACTGCTACTATAACAATTACTACAAATTTAGTGGCTTCAACAGCACAAATGTATTGCCTTACAGTTCTGAAGTCCAGGAATTTCCAATGGTTCAGCTGGACTACATTCTTTTTGGAGGCTCTAAGGGAGAGTATGTTTCCTTGCCTTGTCCAGTTTCCAGATGCTGTCCACATTCCTTAGTTGGTGATTCTGCATGACTCCAATCATTTTCCAGGACACATCTAATTCTCTGACTCTGACCCTCTTACTTCCCTCTTATAAGGATCATTGTCAATTATACAGTGCCGATAGGATAATGCAGGGTAATCTCCCCACCTCAAAACCCTTGATTTACTCACATCTGGAAATCCCTTTTTACCATGTAAAGTAAGGAATCATAGGTTCCAGACATTAAGATGTGAACATCTTCAGGGGAGGGAGGCTATTCTGCCTAACACACCTCCCCAAAGGTGGTGGAAAATACTTAAGTTGGGTTGGAATCCCAGGGCTAACAGAGGCAGCTCTTTTATGCAGTCCTCACCTTCATAGCTAAGTCATTCCGGGCCAAGTTCAGAGGTTTGTTTAGTAAAAAAACATATGAGGCATGCCAAAAAAAAATTTTTCCTCTTCTTTTTAGGGGTGGAATGGGGTAAAGGTGAAAAAAGTAAAAAATCATCTTCATGTACTTCCACTTAGTGAAAAATACATGGATTAGGGGGTGATTTTAAGTTCCTGAAAAGTTTTCCTGAAGAATTTGAATGAGACTTGTTTCATATAGTGGTGGAGGGTAGACCTAGAAGCAACCATGAAGAAGATATCTATTCAGTTCAAGGAGGGCCTTTTCAAGAATAGTTAATGTCACCTTAAAGAAACTGAATACAGTTAGCTTTATGAAAAGCTTACTACATTGTCCCCTTTTCTCTTCATTTTACAAGTAGTGAAAAATCTGTGCTTGGAGTCCTTATTTTTTTTAATTATATTTTATAGATTATGCTATTACAGTTGTCCCAAATTTTCCCCCTTTGTCCCCTGGCAACCAGCACCCTGTACTCCCTCGGACAATTCCTACACCATTGTTCATGTCCATGAGTCATGTGTGTAAGTTCTTTGGCTCCTCTATTTTTTAGAAAGTACTTTATATCCCCATGGCTATTCTGTAACTACCTATTTGTACTTCTTAATCCCTTCATCTCTTCACCCATTCTCCCCCACCTCTCATCTGGCAACCATCAAACCCTCTCCATATCCATACTTCTGTCTCTGTTCTTGTTTGCTTAATTTGTTTTTTAGACTTAATTGTTGATAGACATGGTTTTTGGTTTTTTGTTTGTTTGTTTGTTGCCATTTAATTGTTTGTAGTGCTGACCTGCTTTTTAAATAAGTCCTTCAACATTTCATATAATAATGATTTGGTGATGATGAACTCCTTTAGGGTTTTTTGTGTTTTGTTTTTTGTTTGTTTTTTTTGTCTAGGAAGCTCGTTATCTGCCCTTTGACTCTAAATGACAGCTTTTCTGAGTAGAGCGATTTCGGCTGCAGGTCCACATGTTTCATGATTTTGAATATTTCTTGCGAATCCCTTCTAGCCTGCAAAGTTTCTTCTGAGAAATCAGCTGATAGTCTTATGGAAACCCCTTTGTACTTAACTCTTTGCTTTTGTCTTGCTGCTTTTAAGATTCTGTCTTTATCTTCAACCTTTGGCATTTTAATTTTGATGTGTCTTGGAGTGGGCCTCTTTGGGTCCATCTTATTTGGGACTCTGTGCTTCCTGAGCTTGTATGTCTATTTCCTTCATCAAATTTGGGAATTTTTCTTTCATTATTTTTTCAAACAGATTTTCAGTTTCTTACCCTTTCTCTTCTCCTTCTGGCTTGCTATGATGTGCATGTTGGATTGCCTAAAGTTTCCCCACAGGCTGCTTATACTATCCTCGTTTCTTCATATTCTGTTTTCTTCCTGTTGTTCTGATTGCTTGGGGCATTTTTTTCTTCCTTATTTTCCATATGATTTATGATTCTCAGCTTCATCCACTCTCCTGTTGTTTCCCTGTAAATTGTTCTTATTTCAATTAGTGAATCCTTTGTTTCTGAATGATTCTTTTTTTAAATATATTTTATTGATTATGCCATTACAGTTGTCCCATTTCCTCCCTTTCATTCCCCTCCCCCCTACACATCCCCTCCCCCAAAAAACCCCTTTAGTTCATGTCCACGTGTCACAGGTTCTTTAGCTTCTACATTTCCCACACTGTTCTTGCCCTCTCCTTGTCTATTTTCTACCTCCTGTCTATGCTACTTATCCTCTGTACCTTCTCCCCCCTTCTCCTCCTCCCACTCCCCTGTTGCTAACCCTCCATGTGATCTCCATTTCTATGGTTCTGCTGCTGATCTAGCTGTCTGCTTAGCTTGCTTTTGTTTCAGGTGTAGTTGTTAATAACTGTGAGTTTGCTGTCCTTTCACTGTTCATATTTTTTATCTTCTTTTTCTTAGATAAGTCCCTTTAACATTTCATATAATAGGGGCTTGGTGATGATGAACTCCTTGAACTTGACCTCATCTGGGAAGCGCTTTATCTGCCCTTCCATTCTAAATGAAAGCTTTGCTGTATAAAGCAATCTTGGATGGAGGTCCTTGACTTTCATGACTTGGAATACTTCTTTCCAGCCCCTTTTTGTCTGTAAGGTCTCTTCTGAGAAATCATCTGACAGTCTGATGGGAACTTCTTTGTAGGTGACTGTCTCCTTATCTCTTGTTGCTTCCAGGATTCTCTTCTTTATTTTAATCTTGGCTAATGTAATGATGATGTGCCTTGGTGTGTTCCTTCTTGGGTCCAACTTCTTTGGTACTCTCTGAGCTTCCTGGATTTCCTGGAGGTCTATTTCCTTTGCCAGATTGGGGAAGTTCTCCTTTATTATTTGTTCAAATAAGTTTTCCACTTGTTGCTCTTCCTCTTCCCCTTCTGGTACCCCTATAATTTGGATGTTGGAATGTTTAAAGATGTCGTGGAGGTTCTTAAGCCTCTCCTCATTTTTTATGAATTCTTGTTTCTGTTTGGATGTTTCTTTCTTCCTTCTGGTCCAGTCCATTGATTTGAGTCCCAATTTCCTTTCCATCACTATTGTTTCTCTGTGCATTTTGCTTCATTTCACTTAGTCTACCCTTCATTTTTTCATCTAATTTGCAAGTAAAATCGACCAGTTCTGTGAGCATCCTGATCACCAGTGTTTTGAACTGTGCATCCGATAGGTTGGCTATTTCTTTGTTGCTTAGAAGTATTGGCTCTGGGGCTTTGAGTTGCTCTTCTGCTTGCGCCACAATGTTTTGGTCTATTCACGCCTGTTACCTATGAGGGAAGAAAGCTTAGGTGTTCAATGGGGTGAGTCAATCCAGTCGCTGGTTTGTGACACTGTATGTGGGGGCAGGGCCAGAGAAGGAGAAATGGCGTTTGTTCCGCTCTCTCTCAGATTTGGGTCTGCTCTGCCGCTTCCCACAAGCAGAGCAGGCCCTTCTGGTGCTGGTTCCTGGGCGGGTGGCTTGTGTATGTTCTAGGACCCTGTGGGTCTCCCCAGTGAACTCTCTTGTGAGGCTGGGAGCCTCTCCTGGCACCTCAACCACCAAAAGTTTTTCCAG